GGAGGAACAAGGGGGAGAAGAAGGGCGGAAATGGTGGGGGAAAGGGAGAGAGGCAAACCATGAGAGACTCTTGAATGCTGACAAAAACTGAGGACTGATGGACGAGGGGGGGATGGGCATGGAGGAGGGCACTTTGGGGATGAGCACTGAGTGTTATGTAGAAACTAATTTGACAATAAACTATTTGTAAAAAAAAACAAAAAACAAAAAACAAAAAAACAAAAAAAAATAAAAAAATAAAAGGTTTAAAAGGCACATAAAAAAAAAAAAAACAAAATTGTTCGAGCTATTCAGGGTCTCTAGATAGTCCCATGCGAATTTTAGGGTTGATTGTTCTAGTTCTGTGAAAAATGCTGTTGGCATTTGATAGAGATTGCATCAAATCTGTAGATTGCTTTGAATAGTATGGACATTTTAGCGATATTTGTTCTTCTAATCCCTGAGCATGGACTGTGTTCCCATTTGTTTATGTCGGTTTCAATTCTTTCATCAGTGGTTTACAGTTTTCAGAGTACGGGTCTTTTCACCTCCTTGTTTAAATGTACTTCTAGGTATTTTATTATTTTGGTGCAATTGTAAGTGGGATTGTTTTCTCAATTTCTTTTTCTGTTGATTATTAGTGTATAGAAAGCAGTGGATTTCTGTACATTGATTTTGTATCCTGCAGCCTTATTGAATTCATTTATCAGTTCTAGTAGCTTTTTTCTTGGTGTCTTTAGGGTTTTTTTGATACAGTATCATGTCGTATGCAAATAGAGTTTTACTTCTTCTCTCCTGATTTGGCTGCCTTTTGTTCCCTTCTCTTGTCTGATTGCTTGACTAGAACGTCCAGTACTATCCTGAGTAAAAGTGGTGAGAGTGGACATCCTTGCCTTGTTCCTGGTCTTAGGGGAACGTTTTTTCCCATTGAGGATGATGTTGTGGGTTTTTCATAGAAGGCCTTATTATGTTGAGGTTTGTTCTTTCTAAACCTACCTTGCTGTGGGTTTTCATCACGAATGGATGTTGTCCTTTGTCATGTGCTCTTTCTGCATCTTTTGAAATGATCATATGGATTTTATCCTTTCTCTTGTTGATGTGATATATCATATCGATTGACTTGTGAATATTGAACCACCTTTACATTCTGGGAATAAATTCCACTTGATTGTGGTGAATGATTGTTTTAACGTATTGTTGGATTCTTAATATTTGTGGAAGATTTTTGCATCTGTGTTCATCAGAGGTATTGGCCTGTAGTTTTCTATTTTTGTAGTGTCTTTATCTAGTTTTGGTATTAGGGCAGTGCTGGCCCATCGAATGAATTTGGAAGCTTGCTTGCTTCTATTTTTTGTAGTAGTTGGAGAAGAATAAGTAATAACTGTTTTTTAAATGTTTCATAGAATTCTCCTGTGAAGCCATCTGGTCCTAGACTTTAGTGTGTTGAGAGTTTTTTGATTACTGATTCAATTTCATTTCTGGTAATTGGTCTGTTCAAATTTTCTCCTCCTTCCTGATTCAGTTTTGGGAGGTTGTATGTTCCTAGGAATTCATCCATTTCTTCCAGGTTGTCCATTATGTTGGCGTATAATTGTTTATAATATTCTCTTAGTTTATAATATTCTCTTAGAATCCTTCATATTTCCTTGGTACTGGTTGTTACTTCTCTTTCATTTCTGATTTTGTTAAAATTTGAGTCCTCTCTTTCTCTCAGATGACTCTGGTAAAGCTTTTTCAATTTTGTTGATCATTTCAGAGAACTAGCTCCTTGGTTTCATTGATCTGTTGTATTGTTTTTTAGTTTCTATTTTCTTTATTTCTGCTCTGATCTTTATCATTTCCTTACTTCTGCTGGTTTGGGGTTTTGTTTGTTGTTCTTTTCCTTGGTCCTTTAGGTGTGGCATTAGGTTGCTTATTTGAGATTTTTCTTGCTTCATGAGGTAGGACTGTGTTGCTGTAAAGTTCCCTCTTTTTTTTTTAATTTTTTTTTTTTTTTTTTTTTTTAAATTTCTGAGAGAAAGCATGACCAGGGGAAGTCAGAGAGAAAGGGAGACACAGAATCTGAAACAGCCTCCAGGCTCTGAGCTAGCTATCAGCACAGAGCCCAACCCGGGCCTCGAACCCACAAACTGTGAGATCATGACCTGAGCCGAAGTTGGACGCTTAACCAACTGAGACGCCCAGGCGGCCCAAAAGTTCCCTCTTAGGACTGCTTTTGCTGCATAGATTTTGGACTGTTATGTTTTCATTTTCATTTGTCTACATGTATTTTTTCATTTCTTCTTTGGTTTACTGGTTGACCCATTCATTGTTTAGTAGCATGTTGTTTAACTTCCATGTATTTGTGGTCTTTCCAGATTTTTTTTTCTAATTGACATCTAGTTTCATAGTGTTGTGGTCAGAAAAGATGTGTGGAGTGACTTTGATCTTTTTGAATTTGTTGAGACTTGTTTTGTGGCCTAACACGTGATCTTTTCTAGAGAATGTTCCATGTACGCTTGAAAAGAATGTGTATTATGGGGCGCCTGGGTGGCTTAGTCGGTTAAGCGTCCGACTTTCGCTTAGGTCATGATCTCGCGGTTCGTGGGTTCGAGCCCCGCATCGGGCTCTGTGCTGACTGCCAGCTCAGAGCCTGGAGCTTGTTTCAGAGTCTGTTACTCCCTCTCTCTCTGACCCTCCCCTGCTCACTCTGTCTCTCTCTCTCTCTCCTAGAAATAAATAAAACATTAAAAAAAAAGAAAGTGTGTATTCTGTTGTTTTAGGATGAAATGTTCTGAATATATCTGTGAGCGCCAAGTAGTCCACTGTGTCATTCAGAGCCACTGTTTCCTTGTTGATTTTTTTTTTTTTCCTTGTTGATTTTTTGTTTGGATGATCTGTCCATTGATGTAGGTGGGTTATTAATATCCCCTACAATTATTATATTACTATTACTTCCTTTTTTTTGAAATCATTATCAAATATTGATATTTTTATTGCAAAAAAGGCTTATAATCAAGAGTTACAAATTCAGTTTCTTTAATAGTGTATTGTCAATTTGGTTTCCGTACAACACCCAGTGCTCATCCCAACAAGTGCCTTCCTCCATGCCCATCACCCATTTCCCCTCTCCCCCACCTCCCATCAACCCTTGGTTTGTTCTCAGTATTTAAGAGTCTCTTACGGTTTGTCTCCCTCCCTCTCCTTAGCTATTTTTTTCCCCTTCCCCTCCCCTATGGTCCTCTGTTAAGTTTCTCTTGTTCCACATATGAGTGAAAACATATGGTATCTGTCCTTCTCTGCCTTATTTCACTTAGCGTTAACACCCTTGAGTTCCATCCATGTTGCTACACATGGCCAGATTTCATTCTTTCTCATTACCAAGTAATATTCCATTGTATAGATAAACCACATCTTGATCCATTCGTCAGTTGATGGACATTTAGGCTGTTTCCATGATTTGGCTATTGTTGGAAGTGCTGCTATGAACATTGGGGTACATGTGTTCCTATGCATCAGCACTCCTGTATCCCTTGGGTAAATTCCTAGCAGTGCTAGTGCTGGGTCATAGGGGAGTTCTGTTGTTAACTTTTTGGGGAATCTCCACACTTTTCCAGAGCGGTTGCACCAGTTTACATTCTCACCAACAGTGTAAGAGGGTACCCGTTTCTCCACATCCTCACTACCACCGATAGTCTCCTGATTTGTTCATTTTAGCCACTCTGACTGTCGTGAGGTGGTATCTCAGTGTGGTTTTGATTTGTAGTTCCCTGATGATGAGTGACGTTGAGCATTATTTCATGTGTCAGTTGGCCATCTGGATGTCCTCTTTGGAGAAATGTTTGTTCATGTCTTCTGCCCATTTCTTCACTGGATTATTTGTTTTTCGGATGTGGAGTTTGATGAGTTCCTTATAGATTTTGGATTACTTTCTTTATATTTGTTATTAACTTGCATGTTTGGGTGCTTCTGTGTTGGGTGCACAAATATTTACTTCTTGTTTATTTGACCCCTTTCTGGTTATATAGTGCCCTTCTTCGTCTCTTGTTACACTCTTTGTTTTAAAGTCTATCTTGTTCCGTGTAAGTATTGCTGCTTCAGATTGCTTTTCACACCGTTACCATGAGAATGCGTATCCATCCCCTCACTTTCCATCTGCAGGCGTCTTTAGGTCTGAAATGAGTCTGTTATAGGCAGCATACAGATTGGCCTTGTTTTCTTATACATTCCATTACCCTTTGACTTTTGACTGGAGTGTTTAGTCCATTTACATTCAAAGTAATTATTGATAAGTATGTATGTATTACCATTTTTGTTACTTATTCTGTGGTTGTTTTTGTAGTTTTTCTTCATTCCTCTCCTCTTGCTCTATTCTCTCATGATTAGTTGGCTTCCTTTAATGATATACTTGGATTCCTTCCTCTTTTTTCTGCATGTCTACTACAGGTTTTCAATTTGTGTTTACCGTTCGGTTTGTATGTCATCTCTTCTGCATATAGCAGTCTGTATGAAGTTGATGGTCGCTTAAGTGTGAACCCGTTCTTTACTCCTCTCCTCCCCATGTTTTAGGTAAACGGTGTCTTAATTTACAGCCCTTTATTTTGTGAGCCCCTTGACTGAGTTTTACAGGTATACTTATTTCTACTGCTTTTGTGCTTCAGTCTGACCTCCTCTTGATTACATCTGTTAAGACCCTATTTCCAACTAAGGTCACATGCACAGGTGTAGGCGTGGAACTGAGACATATCCTCAAGGAGCACACAACTCAGACTGCCACAGAGGGAAAGGATAATGGAGCAGAGCTCCTGATATGCCCCTGAGCAGGGAGGAGAGGTGTGGTAGCGGAAAGGGTGTTGGGGTGCAGATATTGAGTGGGCTGGGTTGAAGGGATGAGGCTGGGGCTAGAGCTGAGTGGTAAGGACAGCCACGAGGCTTCCCTCCAAATGAAGCTGTTCCCAGGGCTGAACCTCTTAGCCATCGCTGGCTTCCCCTGGGCTGTGTTGAGCCTTGTAATCTAAACTGTGTTTCCTTTTTTCAACCAGGAAACTACTTTGCCTCGCACTTTTTCATGGGAGGTGAGAAATTCGACACCCCCCACCCTGAAGGTTACCTTTTTGGAGAAAACATGGATCTGAATTTCCTGGGCAATCGCCCGGTCCAGGTGGGTCACAGTGGGCTAGGCACGTGGGCGGCGGCAGCGAGGTGCCTCCCCTCCGCTGTGCATAGATAGCTAGCTTTGAGGATAAGCAGACACTGAGTCACCTCAGATGGGCAGAGCTCCTGGCTGGACGTGCCTAAGTGTGTGCAGCGGTCATGTCCTGGCACTGCCCCCTTAGAGGTTGGATGGCTGCAGATAGCTCACTGGGGGACAGGGTAGCTGCTGCCAAACCTGATGTGTCCAGGCGATGGGGCTTATGGATAGTTATGGATTTGATCCCAGGCCTCTTGGATGACTTTCTTTAAAAAGAAAGAAACAAAATCCATGCTCGGTAGAACAGTGGGAGAGAGTTGTTACCCAAAGGAGACCTGCACACAGATAGGGAGCATTTTTACAAATGCGCTTTCGTTAGTCATCCAAGAAGCACATGCTTACACGCTACCGTCCACTTGTTCAGCACACGTTTGGCACCTGCTGGGTGCCTAGGACTCTTCCAGGGGCTGGCAGTGGAGGACAAATCCTACCCCATTCCCTCCCGGGGTACAGACAGTGAAGAAAAGATTCATGAATGGAAACGAGAGAGAGAGGGACTAGTGAGGTCCTCTGGGGAGGGGGTGCTTAGCGGGGGATTGGGTCTTGTACTATAAAATGATGGGTCCCAGTGTGGGTGAGGAACCAGGCAGGAAGCCCTCTCTTTCAGGAGATGCTGGACTCTGTTTCCCAAGGTTGCTGAGTCCTGGGGTGTCCCTGGGCCCGGCAGGGGATGGGGTGTCCATGGGCCCAGGGATCTTCAGGCTGTTTTAGCAGTGGAGCAGCTGGTTGACATGTAATCTTGATCCGTTAGTGGGTGGGAGGCAAGGAGCTGAGGCCAGGAGTGCTGCCTTCCCCCACCCGTGGGATCATTGGGGCTTCCAGATTGTGCTGAGTCCCCCGCCCTCCCGCATCCATGGCGGGTTGTGCTCGGTCTCCCATACTCCCGAGTCCATTGCAGGTTGTGCTGAGTTTCCCGCCCTCCCGAGTCCATGGCGGGTTGTGCTGAGTTTCCCACCCTCCCGAGTCCATGGCGGGTTGTGCTGAGTTTCCCGCCCTCCTGAGTCCATGGCAGGTTGTGCTCAGTCCCCCCACCTCCCGAGTCTGTGAGAGCAAGAGCAGCAACCTCACCTTCTATCTTTAAAGCCCCAGTTCGCACACAGGGCCTGGCTCTTACAGCCCTCCCATAAATCTCTTGTTTAAACTTTTCCTTGGAGACTGTCGTAGATTCCCCTGCAGCGGCGGGAAGGGGTGCCAGTCCTGTGTGCCCTCCCTCCTCGGCTTCCGCAGGGACGGCCCCTTCCGGATCTCTGGGGCGCCGTCACAGGCGGGAGCTGCTGTTGCTGCAGCACAGTTTCCAGAGATCTCCGGTTTTCCCACACTCCCCTGTGTGTGTCTGTGTGCGAGTCCCTTCCAGAGTCTTTCCTGAGCATCGTGCTTGCCTTGCAGGCCTACTTTATTCAGGATAGTAGTGAGCACCAGGTCCTGCCTCTGGGAAGGTGACCACCCCCAGGGTCCGTTGGGCCGGGTTTTGCTTACTGAGGGTCCTCCTGGAATCGGAACACTGTGTCTGGATCTGTGTGGCCAGAATCCTTAAGGTTCTGGTCCCTGTTGTCTGTCCCACGCGGCGGCTGCCAGGCCTGTGGTTTCCTTCTGTACAGATGAGCACAAGGGCTGGGGTGTTCAGAGTCATGCCTGTGGCTCTGATTGTCCTTGTTTTCTGGCCCTGTCACATCCTGGGGAGTCACTGGGCATGGCTTTGGGTTTCTCCCTCCAGTTTCCTTACGTCACCCCTGCCCCCCACGAACCGGTGAAGACGCTGAGGAGTCTGGTGAACATCCGGAAAGACTCCCTGCGGCTGGTGAGGTGAGCCTTCACCCTGCCCCGTGCTATGGCCCCAGACGCCTGTGAGGGGAGGCGGTGGCAGCGAGTGGCCCTGGTCCCTGCTCCCTCGGCTGTGGAGCCAGAAGGTCACAGACACGTCTCGAGTCCAGAGGGCCTCCTGGGGCGTGAGTGCAAAGGGCTCTGCTCGTGGAACTCCAGTCTTCAAACCAGCCCTGCCCCCAGGGACGTTGGTCTGTGTCTGCAGATGCTTGCACTTGGGGGATTGGTGGCAGAGACCAGGGATGCCGCTGAGCACCCTGCAGCGCACGGGACAGCCCCACAGCCAACAGTGATCCAGCCTCTCACGTCAGCAGGCTGAGCATCCGCATTGAACCTGGACGACGCCCAGGACCGTGTCTAAACCACAAGGACCCCTCCTCTGTGGGCAGGACGCGGGGGAGGGAGGGCTCGGCAGTGCCAGGCCTTACTGTCCACACAGGGAGCGGGCCTCCAGGTGTCCAGTCGGCTGCCTCTGAGGACCCCGTGGGGGGACGCACCTGCTGTGCTGGGTGGGGGCTGCTCAGGGGCGTGGCCGCCCACTGCTTCCTGTCCCTCTGTTCCCGGCAGGTATAAAGATGGTGCTGACAGCCCCTCCGAGGACGGCGAGAAGCCGCGCGTCCTCTACAGCCTGGAGTTCACCTTTGATGCCGACGCCCGAGTGGCCATCACCATCTACTGCCAGGCGGTGGAGGAGTTCCTGAACGGGATGGCTGTGTGAGTGTCTGCGGCCTGGGTGGTGGGCTGGCCCGGTAGCCATGCTTCTGTGGTCCATGCCGTGTGTTTGAGCTTTTGGAGGTTTTATTTGCAATAAGGGTCCCACTAGGCCCCCAGATTTGAAATCTGTACCTTCAGCATGACCACAGACTCCGACAGGCAGGCAGAAATGCAGCCGCTTGTGTCCTGTTGGAGAAAACCACCTGAAGGCCAGGCAGGCTTGGGGGTTGGAGCTCAGGCGGCAAGGCTTGGGACTGCTGGTGCCTTGGTTTCCTCAGCTGGGGGTGGGGCTGGCTGGAGCTGCCGCCTCGTGGTCAGTATAAGGACCTGGCTGCTGCTGTGCCGTTGGAGGAAACTCACAGCTGGCGTTTTGTGGGGAGCACTCCCTGCAGGGAGTGAACACTCTGTCCGTGGGGCTCGGTGGGCTCAGGGCTCCGTCGCTCGCACCCTCCCTCGCAGCAACGAGAGGACAAGATGCACAGCTCTGCTTTGGTCTGTGTCACACTTGGACTTGTAAGACGTGCCCTGAGGAGGACAGTGGGCGTGTGAGCAAACAGCTTAGCCGTTCCTGGAGCTTTTGTCCTGGACCCCCCGGGGGCTCCTCCTCTGGGGACGGGGGACACAAATGCTGTTCTGTCCCCTCTGTTCCCTTTCTGAGACCTGGCGGGAGCGACTGGGAGCCTGCCTCCCTTCCCGGTTTGCTGGAGCAGAGTGGTGTGAGCACAGATGTCAGTGGAGCAAACAGAAGCAGGAAGCTCCAGGGCCCAGGAGGCTGCGCCCAGGCACCTTTATCTTAGCCTGGAAATTCTGTTTGCATTTGAGCTGCAGGGCAGGTGACCCTGATGCTCCTTCCCTGGTCCCCTCCCTGCTTCCTAACAAGTGAGAAAAGGGGGCAGATCTGAGGTCCCAGAGAAAATCCCAGGTCTGCTTGGGAGCAGAGTCCTAGCCTGTGGCTTTGTCACGGGCTGAGGCCTGGGATGTCACAGGGAGGGAAGGGCTTCTGGCCTCCAGGAGTGGAGGCGCCCCCTCTCTTTGTGGACACAGGAGCAGCCCCTGCCCTGGGCAGTCTCTCAGGGTCTCCAGAGTGTCTTCTGTCCAGGAGGCTGAGGGACGCGCCGCGAGTGGCTGCTGTGGGGTGGGGGGAAGAAGCAGGCCGGAGGCGGGGAGCAGGCCAGGGCGGAGGTGCAGGTGGAGGAAGCAGGCCAGGGCTGGGTGTTGGATTCCTGAATGAGAAGCGTGAGTTGGTCAGAATTTAAAATGTGTGTGCCCTCTGTGGGCATTCATCTTGGGGGTGTGATTGTGTGCGAGGCTAAGATATATGTAGAAGAGGGTCCTAGAAGCAGTTTGGGACAGCGAGATGCCGGAGACTGTCTGGTGTTCACCAGCAGGGGGCCTGCTCGGATCAGTTAGAGTGACCCCACAGTGGAGCCCATGCCGTGTTTGCAGAACCCCGCACCTCTGTGCGTGACGATTAGGGGATGGTGCTGGGGGCCATCGGTAGTGAGGGAGCCACTGTAGGCAGGCCGCCGTGTGAATATTGAAGAGCGGACACCACGTATCCGGGCGTGGACCTGCCCTGCTCTTCTGGGAGTGCTCGGCGAGTTGTGGCTGGGGCACAGAAGCCGGTGGCGGGGAGCAAGCGTGGGGGTGGGCTGTGGGTGACATGGCGCACTGCGCACATGGTTGTACCATGTTTGTTCACAGAAGTAAACACACCGTAAAAGCCAAATGGAAACGTGTATCCAGATCTGGAAAGGCAGTTGTGGGGCAGGTGTGGGTCCTGGAGGACTCGTAAGCAGGTCCAGTTACCAGGACCGAGGGCCCCGCCCCGCCAGAGGAGGGCAAGGACTCGCAGGCACACAAGGGAGTGTGGGTCCTATGCGTCTGATTTCCGCTCGGTCCCCAAAGACCCGTGGCCGCCAGCCCCTGCGTCAGAGGTCCTGTGCTGGCAGGGGACGGAGACTGGGGACCGGGTACAGCAGACCGTTTGCTCTGGGCACAGTCTCAGCGGCCTTTCTCTCGGCTGTCCCCTTAGGTACAGCCCCAGGAGCCCTGCCCTGCAGTCCGAGACCATCCACTACAAGAGAGGGGTGAGCCAGCAGTTCTCTCTGCCCTCCTTCAAGATCGACTTCTCCGAGTGGAAGGACGATGAGGTAACCTGGCCCCCTGCCCCGGCCCTCCCTGTGGGAGCAAGCGCCATGGGGCCTGTCTGCTCACATTCCTTGCGTGCTTGATCAGCATTAGGAGTGGCTCTGCTGAGTTGGCCGTGCACTGGACGAGGGAGCGGGGTTTGATTCGAGTGTTGGCTGGACTGGATGACTGAGAACGGACGGAGCGCCAACAGTTAGAGGCTCTGGTACGCGGCCTTGGTTGTGCCTCATCGGGGCCATGGGACTGCAGCATGGCAGGATCCCTTCCACCCTCTGGTTCCCTGCTGGGCACGGCAGTTTATATCACGTGAAAGACGGAGATGGAAGCTTTGTCTGTAACAGCAGAATTTGGAAACTGTCTGTCCGTGGCGAAGAGGTGGCTTATTCGCTCATGTTAAGGGAACCCTATACGTCATTGGGACACCTTGGTTCTCTTCTGTAATGGGAGGCCGTGCAGCCTCAGCAGATGAAGGGGATCTGTGTGTACCGTACACACAGGTACAGAAAGCCCCTCCTGGGCATGGAGAGGGGTCTGTTGCAGACAGAGGTACAGTATAATTTCACGCATGCAGCAAGAAAGAGGCCATTTTTGCAGGTACCAGTATGTGTACATAAAGCTTGAGAAACCAGACAAGATGCCCCTGAAGCCTCTCGGTGACCATTTCTGCACGGGATTTTGGTATAAGGCACAGAGCCCTGCGTTACCCGCGCAACTGCACGTACTGCATGTGAACAGTGTGAGTGCAGCAGTATGTACGTGTCTGAGTTGTTTTGTTTGAACAGGTCTGTTAAGGTATAATTTACATACTGTAAAACTTACCCCTTTTAAGTGTATAATTCAGTGATTTTTAGTGAGTTTGTGAATTATGCTGTGGTCCCCACAGTCGACTTCTAGAACATTTCCATCCTCCCAGTAGGGGCCCTCATACCCGTTCTTAGTTAATCCCAGTTCCTAGTCCCAGCCCCTGGTAGTCACTAATGTACCTTCTGGCTGGATTTGGCTTTTCTGGACATTATATATAAATGGAATCATATGGTAGGTGGCCTTTTGTGCCAGGCTGCTCTCACTTGGCTGAATTCTCTAGTTTTTTAAAAACAGGTAGTTGTGCCTCACTGAGGTACAGTAGGGGGAAGGAAAGGAGGCAGCGGGGCATGGGCTGGTATAGGAGCTGGGCAGGTGGATTTTGGGTCACAGGCTTGTGTCGGAAGGTGAAGGCCACGCTGCACTGTTTGCTCTCACTCGTCAGGGTGCTTTGATGGCCAGCAGCAGAAGCTACCTCTGTCACTTATGTGAGGAAGTCTTCTGAAAGAAGGATGAGGCCGTCAGAGCCCCAGGAAGAGCTGGACAGCCAGGCCCTGGACAGCCCTGCCCATGGCCCCGTTCCATCCCGTGGCTCTGTCTCCGTGTGCGCACATTGCCGGCTGGGGCACCCAGAGCTGCACACAGCCCTGCCCACTCTCCTGTGAATGCAGGAGAGCTACTCCCCAAAGAAAGAGGGGTTGGGAGGGCAGCAGGGGGCTGGGCAGACACACGGGTGCTCCCAGCCCGTAGCCGTTGTGGGGAGGACCGGACTGAGCCTGCCCTGTGTGCTGACCTCCGCTCATGGTGTGTCCCTTGGTATTTTGGCCACAGAAAGGCCCTTTTGCGTTTGCAGGTTTTCTGAGTCATCCAGCACTTTGGGTTCTAGCCCCCAGTGAGGCCAGTTGTCCTGGGTCACACCTGGCTCATAAACCAGTCTGAAGTGCCACATAGGGGCACCCCTTTCCTCCCTTAGAGCTGCAGCTGGTCCACATCCCAGGTCGTCAGCATGTGGCACCATAGACGTGGCTGGGGTGGTGGTAGGTGCCCTGTGAATAGTGGTGGCCACTGTGGGCCTGTGCCATATGGAGTTACCCCAGGACTTTTTTTCACCTCTGCCTTCTCTGCTGATCATCGTAGCTGATGTGTTCTTGAAATCACCTCCCTTCTTCTTCTCTGGGTTTTGTTTTGTTTCTTTGGTTTTTTTGGTGATAGAATACACATAACAAAATTTACCATTATGACTTTTAGTATAGTCCTGTATGCGTACCTCTGTGCAGTTCCAGAACATTTTCATCACCCCAACAGGAAACTCTGCACCCATTAAGCAGTCACTTCCATTCTCCCCTCTATTATGTGTATTTTTGTTTCTTCTTTTAAAAAAATGTTTAATTTTTTTTTTTTTTTTTTTTTTGAGAAACCGAGAGAAGGAAAGAGAAAGTGTAAGCAGGGAAGGGACAGATGGAAAGGGAGACACAGAATCTGAATCAGGCTTCAGGCTCCAAGCTGTCAGCACAGACCCCGACACAGGGCCTGAACCCACCAATCATGAGATCATAACCCCAGCTAAATCAGGTGCTCAACTGACTGAGCCACCCAGGCACCCCTATGTGTGTTTTTAAAAGGAAACTTTATCAGTTATTACCATAGTTGGGAAACTGCTAAAACTTGCTATAGGTAGAAGGTTCCAGAAGTTAAAATATATAGAGAACAAGCTGTTATGTCCTGTCACTGTGTCGTCATCTGCCAAAGGTGCTGAAGCAGACGTTGGCAGGTGTTAGAGACCTGACAGATTTTTGGGCACCAAACCCAGATTTTTCCTCAACCAGGGCTTCTCAGCCTCAGTGCTATTGACCCTTGGGGGCCAGGTCATTCTCTGTGGTGAGGGCTGCCCTGTCCTGGGCACTGCAGGATGTTGAGCAGGATCCTTGGACTCTACCCACCAGGTGCCAGGAGCACCCCCTAGTGGTGACAACCAAGGATGTCTCCAGACACGGCCAGCTTTCCTCTGGCCATCCTCCCTTGGAGCCTTTTTCCTGGATTTGCCTATTTAAAGATTACAGCAGTAATGTATGGTTATTGTAAAATGTGCAAATTATACAGAATTTGTAAGGCAAAATGCCCTCTACTTGAATCTTCTCCAGAGGCAACTACTTCTTTTTTTTTTTTTTTTTTTTTTTTTTCAAATAGTTTATTGTCAAATTAGTTTCTACATAACACTCAGTGCTCATCCCCAAAGTGCCCTCCTCCATGCCCATCCCCCCCTCCCCCCCACATCCATCAGTCCTCAGTTTTTGTCAGCATTCAAGAGTCTCTCATGGTCAGAGGCAACTACTTCTGACCAGACTTTTCTCTCACATGCATTTGTTTGTCATAAAGATGCAGTCATGCGTACAAATATTGTTATATAGCTTGCTTTTTAAATAATTTTTTTCTATGTCTTTATTTATTTTGAGAGAGACAGCATGAGCGGGGGAGGGGCAGAGAGCGAGGGAGACACAGAACCTGAAGCAGGCTCTGAGCTGGAACCCACAGACTGTAAGATCATGACCTGAACTGAAGTCGGACGCTTAACCAACTGAGCCACCCAGGCGCCCCTAGACTATTTTTTAAGACTAGTTTTTATAGTAGTTCTAGATTCACAGCATAATTGAGAAGAAGGCATGGAGATTTCCCCTCCAGCCCCATCCCCACACGAGCATAACTTAATTGTTTTGCTGCGCTGTGGTGCCGGGTCTCCCAGAGATGTCCTAGCGGCTGCAGCAGCTTCTTTGCTGGTTTTCAGGCTCCCTGTGCCCTGAGGCTGCTGCGAGCATGCAGGTGAGGCCTGAACACGTTCTTCACCACCCTGCTCGCAGCTGGTGTGCAAAGGGGTTCCCGTAGTCCTGCGTTCCTGGGAACCATGGCCCATGTCTCTCTGTGAGGCCTTTTCAGGGCACCCCCCTCCTCAGCTCCTGCTGCCTGCATATGCCGAGCCTTGCATGGCTGGAGTTCACTGCGTGTTTGGCTGGCCCCCACAGTCACTGGGCATAGCTTTTGTCCCTCTTTTACAGACAGGGAAACTGAGGCTTGGCTGGTGGAGCCAGACTCCATCCTAACACCTCGCCCCTCCCAGTCCCGCCTCCCACTGGCAGCCCTGCCTTGGGTGTCCTCAGTGGTCGCCTGTGTCCTTTGGGTCCTGGCCTGTGATCCCCGCCAGTGAGCAGATGGTTCCTGGCCTGTGATCCCCGCCGGTGAGCAGATGTGGACCCTATGCTCAGGTAGACACATGTGGGAAGGGGAGCTGTCTTTGGGAGGGAGCAGCCAGGAGCCACGGAGGAGAAGGAAAAGTGAGAGACGGGTTCTCCTTGAGCTCATCCACCTACCATGGTGTCGCCGCTTCCCTTCTGCCCTTGCTGGGGGCAAGCTGGGCGCCTTCTTGCACAAGGCTTCCTTGTCTTGGTGCCCACCTGGGAGAATGGAAGATGGTTCAGATAGACACTGTCCTTTGGTGCTCATGGCAGCCAAAGGGGGACAGCCCAGGTGTCCCTTGGCAGGTGGTGGAGGAGCATGGTTCGATGGTTCGGCCGTGTGGTGGGGTGTCACTCAGCCTTGGGGAGGAAGCACTGGCACGTGGTTGGCGTGGGTGAGTCTTGAGAACATGGTGCCCAGTGAAGGAGACCAGACAGAAGAGACCAGTGCCGAGACTGGGCGGATCTGTGGACATAGCGGGGCTTACCAGGTTGGGAGGCCTGGGGAGCAGGTGGTGATGGGGACAGGTGCCTGTGGGGACATGGAGAGTGTTCTGGAAGTGGATGGTGGTGGTGGTGAACATGGCCTTGCAAATGTACTTAATGCCACTGAGTTACACAAAGCCACGTTATTTCTATCTACTTTGCCAGAAGGGGAAAAGTGCAGCCTGACGTGTCTGTCTTCCTCGTCCTTTTGTCTGTCTGCAGGAGCTGTGCCACGACGCCATCCCGCTCACTGCTTGCGGCGACTCCTCCTTCCAGCTCAGTCTGACTGTTCTCCCCTCCTTTTCTCCCCAGTTGAACTTTGACCTGGACCGGGGCGTGTTTCCAGTGGTCATCCAGGCCGTGGTAGATGAAGGAGATGGTGAGCAGCCTTTCCTCATCCATCTCCTTCCGGGCCATGGACCCTTCTCTCCTCAGTCAGCAGGAGGACTTCATTCCAGAAGTGGTGAAAGATGTTGGCTCAGCTCACTTAGCACATTTAGGGCCATGGGCTTGACAAAGCTCTGAGCTGTCTGCCTTTTGGGCCCCCTCCTGGGCTGTGGGGCCCTCTCTCCAGCTCCTTCCCCCGACTCAGGAATCGCTGGCTGCCTGGCTCCCCTCCCCCCGCCCCCCGTGGTAGCAGCAGCTAGACAGGCCTCAGGTTCTGTGTCCGCCCCCAGCAGGGTAGTGGAAGACCCGAGAGCCCGGTAGCCACGCTCACTGGCCCTTTGTCCTCTGCCGACCTTGCCGCTGCTGTGGGCTGCAGCCCTCCAGGCCCCAGCGTGGGAGCCCTGCCGGCCGAGTCCCCGCTCCTCAGCCCTGCCGGAACGTCCCTCCGTGCGGAGCCAGCCATGGAGGAGATGTGGCCGGAGGGAGCCGCAGCACCCCCGGCAGAGGAAGGCAGGATGGGGATGGCCCTCCCCAGGTTTGGGTCTCCAGCTGAGAGCCTGGGAAAGCACCAGCTAGGAAGAAGGAGAAGTTCGGGGTGAGGGCAGAGGAGGGACTGAGGCCAGCTCTGACCGCCGCCTCCGCTCTCTCCCTGGCAGTTGTGGAGGTGACCGGCCACGCCCATGTGCTCTTGGCTGCGTTTGAAAAGGTGAGTGCCACCCTCACCCTTCCTATGCCTGTGACCTGGGAGCGCTGGGCAGAGGGGTGCTGTTTTGAGAGTAGAAGTTTGAACTTGGGGTCCAGGCCTTGGCCAGGTGGGCTTGGTACCAGACGTTCAGGGCAGGTGGGAGACTCTCCATTTATTCTGGGCTCTAGGAGGCTGGGCTTCGAAGCAGTGTCCCCTGCGGGAGGGTTTCAAAGGACATCTGGTGTGTGGGGAGGGCGCGTGTCCTATAGAACCCCCTGTAACCTGCCAGCGCAGGGGCCACACACCCACGTGGAGGACTCTCCTGACAGACCGGCTTCTGTCTGGGATGTGGAGGGGTCACCCAGGATTGTCACCACTCGGGACCCCAGCCTTTCCCACCAGGCCCATCGGAACCTGTCAGCCTGGCCTGGTCCTTGAATGACTGCTCTGCCGTCCCTCCAGGTGGCTGTGTCACCCTGGTCCCATGGAGCTGGGGTGATCTAACTCCCCACTGTGGCCTTTCAGACTCCTGGGGCAGACGTTTGTTGTAGGGTAGAACTGGGCCCATTGTTTGTCATGTCCTTGGGTCTGCCACTTGCCTAGCAGGGCTCTAGACCCTCTGGGGGCAGAGAGAAGAGTCATCCAGGCCCTCCTGGGGTCCCTGAGTTGGGGATGCTTTACATACAAGAGACCATTTATGTGCAAGGATTCACTTAACGCGACCTTCAGCCTGATGTGTGTTTGAACTTAGATGTTTTTTATTCCATGCAGACCCGAGTCCCCAGTCTCCCCAGGTGTTCCTGTGTTGTGGCCACACTACTCGGGGTGCAGTGGGTTGGCTGTGGTGGTGAGGATTGTCTCTGGGTTGGGATGTCGTGGGATCACTGCTGTTCGTGGGGGCCAGCAGTTCTGTGTGTGCGTTCACGCAGCAGCACGTGCCTGGCTGGGTTGGGAGCAGATCCCTGCTCACCTAGACCCTTGCTGGAGGTGGTGGGGTGCGGTCCTGTTGGAGAAGGCCCACACTTGGCCGACAGCCCCACTTCCGCAGAACGTTGGCCTGCACGGTGCAGTTGTAAAGTGTTTTCAGCACCAGCCTGTGGCCTGGGTGGACGAGGATCAGGGGCCCCAGGAGGAAACCAGGCTCGGGCTGCTGTTTCTGGGCTCTGCCCCACACACGGGCATCTGCTGCCCCCAGCCTCCTCAGCCCGGTGTGTGTCTGCAGGCTTTAGAGCATTAAGGGCTCTCCCTGTGATTGGGTCTTTCCAGACTCCCCAGGGAGTTAGTGCATCTGGGGCTGAGCCCCCTTTAGTCCATTTGTCCTGTGCCGCATGCCTCTGCCCCCCCGCCCCCCCCCCCGCCCCAGGGGCTGACGACACAGAGTGCCCAGGGCAGAGGGTGGGCCTCTCCCTCGCCAGCTGTGCTCCCCAGGCCTGGCCTTGTCAGGAAGGACAGCAAGTGTTTCCTGTGCACTGCTCTGGCTGAGTTAGGCGGGCCGTCGATGGCAAACATTCCATCTGCATTTCCAGTCTAGAGCCCCATGAGAAACTGCTTTATTTTTGGAGTCCATCACCCTGAAAATGGCTGGTGCTGGTCTCCGTTGACTCGGAGGGGCAGCTGCTGTTGTTGGAAGATCTCAGGTCTCCTGCCTTATTAACCTCCTCGAACTCCGGGTGGTGTGTCTCCCCAGATACCACCAAACACATCTATCCTCTTTAGTTGTCAGAGTGTTTAGGACTTGGGGCTTTCCCGTGTGCGTGTGTATGTGGACACTTCATCTTGTGTGTGTGCACACAGCTCTCGTGTACATGTGCACGCTTTGTCTTCCTGGCTGAGCCATGCCCTTTTGGGGTTGGAACTGGGTTGTCCTGGGTCTTGCAATCCAGGTGCTGCTGCTTGCTGTTGGGAGGCTCTAGGAAGTTGGCTGATGGTCATAAACCTGAATGTGCTTGTGAGGACTACCCGGAGAAAGTGGGTTACTTGGGTCAGTGCAGACCCAAGAGGCGGCCCTCTAGGTAGTTTCAGAGGCCACGTTTGGAGACACTGGCTGGGCTCCGTCCTTCAGCCAGGGGTGTGGAACGCTTGCCGAGTGAGAGTGCTGAGTGCTACCAGCTCGAGAGTTAACCTCTGTGCCTTCTCCCCTCTAGCACGTTGACGGCAGCTTCTCTGTGAAACCTTTAAAGCAGAAGCAAATTGTAAGTCTGGTAGAAGAAATATCGTGACCCCTTTTGATTTAAAAGACACACACGCACGCACTCTTACACTCTGTGGAGTCCCCATCCGGGCTCTGGGAAGTCTGCATCTGCCTCCTTGGGTGTGTGCATGTGCCCGTGTCCCAGCCTGGACTCATAGCCGTGAGTCTCGTCCAGCGGCACAGGGCGTGTCTGTAGTCCAGAGAGCTGTGTGGGAAACGCGGCAGCTTGGGCCACTTCTGAGCATGGTCGGCGTGAGGTCTGACTGTGCACACTCTTGTGCAGCTGGTGACGGGTGGGTTCAAAGTGGTTTTTCTCTGGGTGGGGGGGTGGTGAGGTGGGCAGAGGATATGGTTGCCTGGCCTGTACAGAGGCTGGCTCCATGCCCCGCCTCCCCCGGGGAGGCAGAACTGCTGGGTCTTCCATCCTATTGCCTGTGCTACTGGCTGGGCTGGGCAGGTAGCAGACTCTCTGCCCTTCTCCTGGCATGGGGCCCACTCCCTGAGGTGCAGATGGACAGAACCTCAACCACGACTGCCCTGAGAACCAGGCCTGGCCTCTGGGAAGTGGTGCTGGGCTAGGTGGGTGCAGGGAGCTCTTGAGTGGGGGCCCGCGAGCACCCGAATACCTCTCTGCTCTCCAGGTGGACCGGGTCAGCTACCTGCTGCAGGAGATCTACGGCATTGAGAACAAGAACAACCAGGAGACCAAGGTATGTGCTTGTGGTGACACCCGCCAGCCTCCATGTGGACCTCCGTCCCCAGCTTTCCTTCCGTGTACACTGGAGCAGGTTCCTGGAGGGACTCTCTTGGGCCCCCCAGTCCTGGCCAGGGCCCCGTGGGCTGGTCCCCTTGGGGGCCTTCCCCTGGAGGCGCTGGAACCCCAGCCTCCATTTTTTCTTAACTTTTTTTTTTTAATATTTTATTTATTTCTGAGAGAGAGACAACATGAGCAGGGGAGGGTCAGAGAGAGAGGGAGACACAGAATCTGAAACAGGCTCCAGGCTCTGAGCTGGCTGTCAGCACAGAGCCCGACGCGGAGCTCAAACTCATAAACTGTGAGATCATGACCTGAGCTGAAGTCGGATGCTTAACCGACTGAGCCACCCAGGTGCCCCATTTTTTCTTAACTTTTTAACGGAGAGGGGCGCCTGGCTGGCTCATTCGGTATAGTGTGTAGCTCTTGATCTTGGGGTTGTAGGTTGGAGCCCCGTGTTGGGCGTAGAGATTACTTTAATCGTAAATCGGTGAGTTAACAGAGTCTGTGTGATATTTTGTCCTTTTTCCAGCAAATTCACTGGCTTGTTAATGTCACTGGGTAGCTAGCTGTCAGGTTAGCAGGGATAGCCTGGGGCTGTGGGACCCCGTGCTGCCTCCCGCCAGCCGGCTCACCTCCCAGCCACAAGCCCCTGCACGCTTGTAACCGAAGCGTGTGGCTGACAGGGCTGTGGTCCGGCGCAGCCAGGGAAGGGTAGCAGAGAATCGACCTGTGCCTTTGTCATCATTTTAAAGGCACAAGTGAAGCTGCCATGTCTTCCTAAAAATTTCTGGAAGTCTTGCACACCAGCTTCTGTGACATCTGGAACCCACTAATAGCTGGATGTCAGGGCAGCTTGGTTCTTGGTCAGGCCCTTAGCCTCAAGTGAGTGCCCCCTGTGTGTTCCGTGTGTGAACACCAGAGGTTGGCCAGCTCTCTGTACAGGGCCTGGAAGTGTATATTTCAACTGCACTGGCCATACAGTGTCTGTCATGTCCATCAGTGGCCTATTTTACATACAGCGCACGTGCACTGTAGCCATCTGGAAACCAGGGGCAGTAAGCCTGTATTTACGGAAACAGATGGTAGGGCTACAGTTTGCTGTTGTACGGTGTTGCCGTCTTGATCGGGATACTTGTTTTGATTAGGCAAGTTGGACGTGTCTGATCTTTTTCTGCTTTAGCCCAGAAAGTGGGTGCCCTGTGCCAGACGTGCCCGTAATGTTGGGTCTTTTCCACGTTTTCTTTTTGGTTCTGAGGAATAGGAAGAGACTGGAGCTTTCGTGGTTTGGTGTGTGTTTTGGGGGTGGGGGGTCCCAGGCTCTCCTCTGGGCCAGGCTGGACACGGGGTACCAGCCAGGCCTGAGCCTGGTGCCCAGCGAGTGCAGCTCTGGGCCGCGTGTCCCAAGGACTCCTGCTCCGTGGTGACCTTCCTCCGCCCTCTCAGACACCCCTCTGCCACAGCAGCCCCCAGGGAAGCTGGAAACAGCCGGTGGGGCGGCCGGGGACGGGAATGCCCCCTGCCCCCCTCCCCGCTCCGGCCCCTTCCTCTGGTCCTTGGGAGCCCACTGACACTGGGGCCCTCCGTGTCCCTGCAGCCGTCGGATGAGGAGAACAGCGACAACAGCAACGAGTGTGTGGTGTGCCTGTCAGACCTGCGGGACACGCTGATCCTGCCCTGCCGGCACCTCTGCCTGTGCAACTCCTGCGCCGACACGCTGCGCTACCAGGCCAGCAACTGCCCCATCTGCCGGCTGCGTGAGTAGGGCCGGGCCGGGGCGCCGGGACGCTGCCTGGGTGGTTAGTAGCCACGGCGACCACGCTTGCACCTGCGTGGCTCCCGTCCTCAGAAAATCAGGCTTCCGGAGTTCGGGGCTGGCGAGCGCACAGCAGGGAGGCTCTTGCAGTGAAATTGGAGCTGGGCAGAAACTGACCAGTAAATCAAATCTTTATTTTCTTAATTTTAAAAATATTTTTATTTCTTTTATTTTGGGAAAGAGGGAGTGCCTGCACACGCAGGGGTTGGGAGTGGTCAGAGAGCGAGAGAGAGAATCACAAGCAGGCTTCGTGAGGTTAGCACAGAGCCCAGCGAACCGTGAGATCGTGACCTGAGTCAAAATCAAGAGTCGGAGGCTTAACCGACTGAGCCACCCATGGTGTGGCTCAAATCTTTAAATGTTACATGGAAAATATTTTGATTTAGAAAGCCATCCCGGTGAGATGGAAAGTGTGCTAGGCAGAAGGTGATTGGTTTCCTGGAGCACTCCAGACATTTTCTCAAAGTCACCACGTGAGCGTAATTCTCAATAAAGTGTCTGTCGTCCAGTGGAGGCATCTAAACATTCTGAGGCAGAAAATCCCACTCGATCAAAATGACCATCAGGCTGGTGGGTGGGTCCCAGCAGGGAGGGGCCAGTGTGGGGGTGAGGAGAGGGCCTCCCACGGGAGCTGCAGGTGTTATCCATCCAGTAGGTAGATGAGAGCCATTTGGAAAAAGCCTTCCTGGGGCATCTGGGTGGCTCAGTCGGTTAAGCGTCCGACTTAACTCAGCTCATGATCTCACCATTTGTGGGTTTGAGCCCCGCGTCGGGTTCTGTGCTGACAGCTAGCTAGGAGCCTGGAGCCTGCTTCGGATTCTGTATCTCCCTCTCTCTCTCTGACCCTCTCCCGCTCACACTGTCTCTCTCAGAAATAAATAAAACATTTAAAAAAATTAAAGAAAAAAGAAAAAGGCTTCCTGCCGTTTCACACCTGGGCGTGCCGGTCAGCCGCCTTGGGCCGGCAGGTGTTACTGCTTCAGCCCGCGCTCCTGAGCCAGGATGCAGCCGTGTGACCAGACCTGCCATGCTTGTCTCATCACTCTCTTGGGGATTGGAGGGAACCTGTCCAAGGTCAGAGCTAGTAAGGGGCCGGAGGGGGTCTCCACTGGCTGTCCCCCTGGGATGGACGGGTACATGCAGCGACCACACGGCAGGCTGAGCGTGTGGAAGTAGAGGAAGAGGCTGTAGGGTGTGTGGGGTCCGGAGCCCAGCCCTGATGAGATGTTGGGGCTTGGGAGGGGAGGCTGCAGGGGGGCGGTGTGCTGGCACTGGAGGGACAGGCAGCGGGCCCCGAGGCTGTGCTGGGGCAGTGGTTGCATGGAGGCCCAGTAGCCTCTGCTGTCTGAGCACCAGCCTCCCTCACTTGCTTCGTCTTCTGGGCATTCTCAGAGGTGCGGGGTGCATGTGGTCTGGAGGCCCAGGGTCCAGACAGCCTAGAGTGAGGGCCCCTGGCAGGTGTACGTAGCATTTGGCCCCGACAGGGGTCAGGGCCCTTGTCTCTGGGGCCTGCAGCCTGGGGCGGCCGCCACTCACACTGAGGACGTGGTTGGCTCTGGTCTTGTTGCAGTGGGGGCCGGTGCAGTTTATGACTGTGTGTCGTGTGTGTGCTCTTCTCGTAAGCGTTACGCTCTTGTTAGTGGACCTGATGTCAGGGCAGTCGATAGCCTGCCTCCTAATTTATTTCCCAACCTGTGCTGCTTCTCTGCCTGCTCTTGGTATAACGTCGAGGAAGAGACTGGCCGATGTCCAGGGCGCACTCTGTGCTTTCAGCTGGTCACCAGATGTGGCCCGGCTGCACTCACCATCGAGTGCATAGTCTGGGGTCTGGCCTGGGAGAGGCTGGAGAAGCTCCGCCTGAACTGGGAACAGGGCAGGACACTGGGAAGAAAACTCCCTTCTGGGGCCGTTTCGTTAGGACTATGTTGCTTCTGATTCGGAGACGTGGCTTGTTCCACGACCGCTGTAGGGCGGGTGGGTGGCCAGTGTCCCTGGAGCTTCAGGAGCCTCAGGGGTGCTGGAACTGGCTGCCCCTTGCCTGATGGGAGCCCCTCCCTCTGCCACAGCTTTCCGGGCCCTCCTGCAGATCCGGGCAGTGAGGAAGAAGCCAGGAGCCCTGTCCCCCGTCTCCTTCAGCCCTGTTCTGGCCCAGAGCATGGACCACGATGAGCATTCGGTAAGTGCCTCTTTCTTCTGTGTTGGAAGGTGTGCAGCAGAGAAGTCCCGGCCCTAGAGGCCCTCGGGGCTTTGTGTTAGCGGTTTCCGGTTCCCAGTGGGGCCTTGTTGGTCAGGAGTCCCTGATAGTGTAGCTGGAAGGAAGGGTGGTGCCAGACTGTCTACCTATCTCTGTCTTCTGGCTCTGTGGGCCAGGCATGGCCCCCACAAGTGGGGGTGAGGTTGAACGGGGTGATCCAGGCTGGGCCCAGTGAGCCCTCACTCCAGGGTGTGTTGTTGGCCAAGAGCAAGGCCGTCTGACGGCAGGTAGCCTTGGAGCATCTGTCACCATCATTCTGCTGAGCTGTGGGCAGAGGGTGCTGCACGGTATCCTCCACACGCTCCCTGCCCACTGAATGGGGTGTCCAGCCCGGACACACAGGAGGGCGCGTTGGCAGCCATCCACCTCGCCTCCGGGAAAGTGTAAGGTAGAGCTTGCTGCTGGCCAGTGAGGGGAGTGGCAGTCAGGCTTTGGGGAGAGATGGCTCTCCAGCTAGAGAGATAGAAGACAGAGAGAGACGTGGAGACACAGAAAGATGGGCAGAGACACAGAGACATGAGGAGAGAAGAAGAAGCACAGGAATGAGGGTAGAAGGGTAGGTACTGAGACATGAGCAGAGGCACATCATAGACAGGGACGGGGCAGGGAGGGCAGAAAGGGGCCAGGGGCAGGCCCAGGGCTTGAGCTCCCGGGTCCCAGCTGGCCACAGCTGTGGTCAGCCAGTGGGGTCTGTGTTCTTGGCTCTCGACTGAGGTCATTGGAGTTCAGAGATTCTTAGAGGCCCTGCCAGCTCTCTACACAGGACAAAGGACCCACACCCTGTGGTTTGCACACCCCCAAGACGCTCCTGCACTGGGCCCATGGTAGGAGTACGTGTTTGGCCCATGTGGTGTTTCTGAATCTTGGGCCAAAGTTTGTGTGTTTGTTTGTTTTAATTTCAGAGGGAGAGAGAGCCTGGGTGGAAAAGGGGCAGTGGGGAGAGAGAATCTTAAGCAGGCCCACACCCAGCATGGAGCCCCCCGCAGGGCTTGAACCCATGACCCTGGGATTATGACCTGAGCCAAAATCAAGAGGTGCTCAGCCAACTGAGCCAGCCAGGAGCCCCTGGGCCAGCGTTAAAGTCCGTAGGGCGCCTAGGTGATGCAGGGGGTTAAGCTTCTTACCTTTGAACTCGACTCAGGTCATAACCTCATGGTTTGTGAGTTTGAGCCCTGTGTCGGGCCCTGTGCTGATGGTAGGGAGCCTGCTAGGGATTCTGTCTTTTCTCTTTGCCCCTCTCCAGCTTGTGTGTGTGCAGAGGCTCTCTCTCTCTCTCTCTCTCTCTCACATTCTCGGTCTCTCTCTCAAAAATAAATAAGCATAAAAAAATAAAAGTCTGGAAATTTTCCTTAAAACTCAGATTTCTGGCTTCTCTTTCAAATTATGAACGTGTGGTATCGGAGCCAGAGCAGACGCAAGGCTGCCCTCGGGTGGGGCCCCCATAACCCCCACTTTTCCCAGGCCAGCGACACGGTGTGTTTTGCCTCCTGGGCCGCCCTGCTGGCACCAGCGCTTACTACTCCCAAAGCAGCCCTCCAGCAAATATATGGACTTGGATACCTCCTCCGGCGGTGCGCTTTCAGTAGAGAGAGCAGCACTAGGGTGTGCCTGGTTCCCGGTGCGGAGCCCCCGCTGTGGAGGGATGGATGCTCAGGGACCGCTGGGCTGGTGGGTTTTCTTATTGCTTGACCTGCCCCTCCGGGCTCCGCCCTGACGTCTGGCATCAGTCCTGACCTTCCCACATTTGCCCCTCTTGTCCCTAGGATAAGGACCGGGCGTGCTGGGGCTTGGGCTGTAAGCCTCACATGTCCCGGAGGGCCCGTGCGCTCCCCTCCAGAGGGTTAAGGCAGCCCAAGCACGTGGGTTCCTGTTGGCCGCCGCGTCTTCCGTCTGAGCGGTCACCACGTGGTGCCACAGGGAAGCCAGAGTTTCTTCAGCAAGTCTGTTAATGTTCCTGAGGAGTTTGGGTGATTTGGGACTGGTTTTCATCCCCAGCTTCCTCGAGGAGTTGGACGTTGGTAATTAGTTTATGTGGAGCCTCAAAAACGTGCAGGAGGGTGTCCTTTCCTAATGCCTAGCTATGCCCACTTGTGGGGAGCGCCTGGCCACTCTCCTGCCTGTGCTGGCCCAGACCTGCTTCTTGGGGTGACCCAGCCCACGGGTGGGCAGTGGGATGGAGACGGGCTCCACCATCGTGGGCTCCTGGAAGTTGCGTAGATGTCCAGGCCCAGGCCCCTAGGGCAGAATCTGCACTTGGTCAGGTCCCCAAACCTCACGTGCAGGTGCAGTTTGCCAGGCACAGGCTCACGGCTCACCTAGAGGCCGGCAAAGCTGAGAGACCCCAGCCAGCCAGCTCCAGCGCCGTTTGGGGGGTGGCAGTAGTAAAACATATGATTTTTATCTTGACAGTGTCCCTTTAAAAAATCAAAGGCGCACCCCGCCTCACTGGCCAGCAAGAAACCTAAAAGGGAAACAGTAAGTGTGTTTGGCCCTATGGCTACATCCTCGCCCTGCACCCTAATGATTAAACCAATGACAAGTATGGGAAGTCATTTTCACCCCAGGCTAACGTGTTTGGTTAATTTAATCTGTCAAATCCACTCTCCCCAGTCCCGGCGTCCCTGCCCAGGAAGGGAGTTTTGTGGAACAAGCAAAGCTCAAGGTCTGTCGGCACAAAGCCAGTGTCTCGGATCCCCGCTGCCAGGCGGCAACAGCGCCAGCCTCAGGCCGCCCCTCTCGCCAGCTCTGCTTCTGCCCGTGGTCCCCAATGGCCTCGTTTCCCTTTTTTTTCTTGCTGGCAGTGGAATGATGTCGGAGGTGGAACTCACGTTGCTGCTAGTTTTTGCAAAGTCTTCCTCGCGCTTGCCTGCTGTCCCGCACCCCTGCTCTCTCCCCCTGGATGTTAGCTCTTTGGGCCCAGGACTTGGTTTTCTTGCATTTTCCCTGCATCTCAGGGAGCAGGCAGGTGGCCTCTGCCTGGAGCCTCCACTGACCCCTGGGGCCCCTTGGCAGAACTTAGAGAGGTGGAAATCCCTGGAGGCTCATGCCAGGGATGGAGGCAGAGGTTCTCCCCACTTGGAGGGTGAGGAGGTTCAGGCTGGGAGCAAATGCAGGGCACCTTAGGCCCAGGTAACCAAGGGACTCAGGAGGTGCGTGCTGAGGGCAGGGAGCCCCCAACCCCAGCCTTTCTGCCTTCCCTTGGTCTCCAGGGTTGATCCATCTCTGCCCTGAAAGGCGGCTCTCCCTTCCTTCCGGGGAGCAATCAGGTGGGCAGGGGCTTCACATTGGGAGCACAGCTGGGCATTTGCCCTTCACCTTGTCTGGCGTGGCCTGGGGGCCTAACATCTCCCAGCACCTGGGCGTCTCCCCTCCTTTAACCCTAAAGCAAGACTCAGTCTGTTGGTTTGCTCTCCCAGCACTGGAGGAGACTGGTTCTGAACCAGGGGTGCCCATTAGGACCACCCAGAACATGCATCGCCCCTGTGGACGATTGTTCCAGGCCCGCAGAGGATCTGACTCGGGCCAGATGCCTGTGCTGGGCAGCGCCCCCTGCGGGGCCAGGCCCTCCCTGGTCTAGAACCCACGCGGCTCCACTGGGCTCTCCCGCCTTTGGCATGGCTTTGCTCTACACCCGCTCCCGAGCTCTCCTTTCTCTCTCTGACCCCTCACTCTCCACCTGTGCCAGGCAGGAACAGAAAGCCAGGTAGGGGCTGGCCGAGACCAGGGGTGGGGAGGCTCTGCTAAGCGCCCTCTTCCTTCATCAGGGGCACCAAGAGTTTGGGTGTCCACGGCTGCAGCTGATGGCTAAGGGGGCCCTTGCAGGGTGTCTTAGGCTGCTCTGGTGTCCTTGGTGTTCCTCTGAGGGAGGGGGATTTAGGTCTCTGGAAGGTGGAGTAGACAGGAGATGGTCAGAAGGCAGGTTTTGGGGAGTAGAGTGTCCCTGAGGCACAAGGCCAGTGTCTGGGGCTTTGTGGCCCGGGGCAGGGAGCTTGGCCAGCCCGTCCCTCACCCGCTCTTGTCCCCACAGAGCTCTGACAGCATCCCGCCCGGCTATGAGCCCATCTCCCTGCTTGAGGCGCTCAACGGCCTTCGGGCCATCTCCCCGGCCGTCCCTTCAGCCCCCCTTTATGAAGAGATCACCTACTCGGGCGTCTCGGATGGCCTATCCCAGGCTGGTTGTCCACTTGCTGGGATCGATCGAATCCTGGAAAGCAGTCACCAGAAGGGCAAGCCGAGCAGCAAATCCCCCGACAGGTGAGGCTGGCACTAGGATCCCCCGGGGGTGGTTGTGGGGGAGCCCAGCCAGGTGCTCTGTGGCAGAGGCAGGGGTCTGCGGTGTCCGGGAAGAGGTGCCAAGCACTTAGTTTTACAGCGCTCTGTTGGGGGACTCGCCAGGGTGACCCCCAGAACCAAGAGCCAGCAGCAGGTGAGGTTTGTGGCTAAGGCCGGTTACGACAGGAGACAGCCAAGCAGCAGAAGAGATGCGCTGGTGGGGATGGATCCCTCCCTGTCACAGGCCACATGGGAGCAGCCACCACAGGCCTAGGAGGGAGCTTGCTGGGGCTTGTCGCGTGGACACGTCCTGCTGTGTGAGCAGCAGTGGCAGCCAGAGCCGGGCCCCATGAAGCTGGGTGCATGACATGGCCCTTGGTAGGCCCACCCAGCAGAGGGTCTGGTCACAGTCACCTGGACGCATGTGAGACGCAGGCAGCCAGCCGTCTGTGATGAGCGTCGCCTCACACGGGTGCTGTTCCTTTTTAAGAAGAGTTTAGGCAGAAGTTCTGTAAAACCAGCCACGCCCCCACGACTTACACGTGTGGCAGGACCACTCCAGAGATGGAGACGCGTGGGGCTCTCTCCTGCTGCTCCCCGCTCCCCCGCACCCCTGGTTCAGTACGATGCCCTCTCCTCCTGGAAATCCAGAGCCTGAGCGGGCCTGCACCAGCTCACCTGACGGCCTCCCTCCAGGAGCCGCTGGGCCTGCACCGTAGCCCCCGGTCTCACCCACAGGTGACATTGGCTTTAGCGGGTTGGTGTTTATCAGCCACTTGTCCTTTACCCCCGTCTTCTCTGTCCCCAGCACCCTGCGGTCTCCATCGTCCCCCATCCACGAGGAGGATGAGGAGAAGCTCTCCCAGGACTCGGACGCCCCTCCCCCGCTGAGTGGGGCGGGGCTGGCGCTAAGCAGCTCCCCTGAGGTGAGGCCCCCTCCCCGCCCACCAGGACCTAGCTGTCACCCTGTCCCCACTGCCTGTCGATGGGCCTCCCAGACCTGCGGCAAAGCGTGCCCAGGTCCCCCTCCAGCACTGCTCACGTAGCAACCTCAGCTGGTTTCCCCATCTGTGGGGTGGGTCCTGTTTGGGGGGCTGGGGCATCAGCCCGGAGCCCTGTCCCCCGGAGTCCTGTCCCCTGCTGGTGGCAGCAGAGCTGTGGACACACTTTGTTCTCGTTTTCTAGAGCTTCATGACAGAGGACGTGGACGAGGCATTGGCGCTAAAGCAAGGTAAGCCCTCTGCTTCTTGAGGAGCGTGTTCGGGACCTCGCTGCCAGGGGGCCGAGATGGGCACGGAGCGTGTGCGGGGTCCCCTGCTGGGAGGCACAGGCTTCTTGCTGCCAGCTCTCCCAGAGGACAGCCTTTGGCCGCTCATCTTTTTCCCTCCGGGTCCAGCCAGCATTTCCCAGTGGCAGCTGTCGTCTTTCCCACCTGGGTCACTGCACACGGTCAGCTCTGCCTGCACGTCCTGTGTGGGTGGCCTAGCTGCCACCTGGAGAGGCCCAGGGCCCCCGGTGCAGTGCACGGCCCAGCCAGGCCGCTCCTCCCTGTGCCCCTGTGTCCCGTGGAGAGTAGCATACAGCAGCCTGCTGGGGCCTGAGTCCTAGCCACCACCGATGGGCCCTGGGCTCCTCCTGGGGGCATGACCCCCAGCTGACCTCGTGGGGGCAGGACCTGCAGCTGACCCCACGGTGGCTGCAGGATGTGACGAAGTGCCTCCCAAGCCTTCTCTGCCAGCTGGGAATGCTGCCACTCCCCTGTCTGGGCCATTCCTCCCTAGTGTTGGACAGATCAGGAAACAGAGGCTCCAGGTTGGGGTGGTTGGAGGCCCCAGGCCACTTAATGTAGAGGTGACAGAGCCTGGAAGTGGCCCTGTCAGGCTGGCTGACTCCCAGGTCTGTCACATGGTAAAGACCCCCAAATAACCTTCAGCTGCTCGTTTGCTGTGACCCCCTCCTTGCCAGGAGGTTCCCACGGGTGTACTGGGTGACCCACGTCCCTCTCCAGTGTGGCTCCCTGTCCCCTGCGTGTGGGGCCTGCTATAGGTTGCTGGGCCTGGGGCTTTGGTTTTGGGTGTGAGGGTTGGTGCCTGGGACAGGTGTTGTCACTTCCTGTCTCCCAGCCTGGACTCACGGGTGGGCACAACCCTCTCTCACCTCTGCTCCTTTTTGCCTGTGCAGAGTGTATGGCCGACTGGGTGGCTCTCTGCTGTGCCCATCACAGGGCCCGGGCCCCTCATCTGCAGAGGGGCCCTCCCCCTCGAGGATTCCCTGGGCAGCACCTGGAGGTGCTGTTGAGAGGGAGGGTGGCCACATGCAGGGCCCACTTGTTCCCCAGTGCAGGGTGTGGAGGCCAGTGGGAAGAGTAAGGCTAAGCAGGAGACGGTAAATCTGTCACTCTTTCTTCTTGTTTGTTTTTTTAAACAGGTACATGATGATTTTATAATGTCAAAACAAAAGCCCCAAGGCAGAGTTGAGAGAGAAGGGCATTAAAGAAAAGCAAACCTTGGGGGCGCCTGGGTGGCTCACTCAATTAGTGTCTGACTTCGGCTCAGGTCATGATCTCGCAGTTTGTGCATTTGAGCCCCGCGCTGGGCTCTGTGCTGACAGCTCAGAGCCTGGAGCTTGTTTCAGATTCTGTCTCCCTCTCTCTCTGCCCCTCCCCCAGTCGTGCTCGGTCTCTCTCTGTCTCAAAAATAAATAAGCTGTAAAAAAAAAAGAAAAGAAAAGCAAACCTTTGGGTCTCAGGCTTAGAGGGCAGAGAAAGGAGTCAGAGCGGAGTCTGGGGCCAGGACTGGCCTTACCGTGGCTGTAGAACCCTCAGGCAGGGAGGAAAGGGGCTCCCAGGGATCTTGACCAGAGAGACAGTGGCCACTTTTGCCTGTAGACCTCTGACCTGCCCCCTCCCCTGCAGGGAGCCGAGTGCCATCCATCGAGAATGTCCTGCAGGATGGCAGCCCTGAGCCCTGCAGCTGCGGCCAGCCCCGCCTGCCGGCCGACATCTACCTGCCAGGTAATGTGCTCCGCAGTTGACCTGAGCCAGTGGGTGGGAGTGGGGGGCACAGGCAGGGCTGTCCCTGGCCATGGGGAGCTGGGGACTGCTCTGACTGCTTGGGGGGCGGCTGGCCTGTCAGGAGCCCAGGTCTGTCTCCTGGCTTTGCCCACAGCCAGGCCCTGGCTCCAGTCACCCCTCCTGCAGCCCCTTGCTCTTTGGAGCAGAGCCTGTGTGTGAAGCCCCTTCACGCTCTAGAGCCAGCTCAGCATCAGGAAGGCAGGAAAGCCCCGTTGTTTCAGGAAGGTCATGGGCCTTCTCTCCGTCTCCTGCTTGGGGCCTGGTGAGCACAGCCAGTCCCACTGGAATCCCCGATTCGTCACCTGTGGGCCTGGCAGTCCCTGTTTGGAGCTCACCAGCAGGGCCTCTGTCGCAGGGAACTACAAGCAGAAAGCTACCTGCATGCCCTGGGCCTGGTGCTGGCCATCAGCCCTCTACCACCAGCACCCCCAGGGCCCAGGCCAAGGCTGGAAGGACCGGCTGGGGTGCTGGGCACCTGCAGGGCCCAAGCGCAGTCAGGGAGGAATCTTTTCTTCTCTGCCTCCCTTTTCCAAAAACCGCCTGGGGTCCCCTGCCCCCAGCTCCCCTGGGTCAAGATCCTCACCTTTAAGTTCTGGGCTCCAAAGATGGGGGACAGGAGTCAGGGGCTCTCCGAGACTTATGCCTGCTGCCTGCTAAGATACCATCTGAGCATCTGAGATCAACATAAAGAGCTGCGATGCTTTCGGAGAGTCTGGCTCCTGACACGTGGCTGGGAAGCCACCCACCCCCCAGCCGCCTGCCCCAGGACCCACCACTGCTCACTTCCCAGTGACCTGACCTGTGCATCGGGCCTACCTATGAAGTGCTTGGTTTGTCCCGCCCCAGCACAGGGACAGGAGTAGCCTCTGCAGACAGGCGTCCCCGTTAGCCCAGAGGGGTCACAGTCAGCAGGTGCAGGAAAGCAGGGGAGCATGTTTCATCGGCACCCCGGGGCCTCCACGAAGAGAAGCCCGTGGGTGAAAGCCGTGTCTAGGACCAGCATTCCCTAGAGTAACACATACTTCTAGTAAGTTTTTTCAACGAACTTTAAGGATTTTGTTGTAATTAAAAGCTTGGGGGATGGGGAGAGTCTGGAGAGTGACTTCTAGAAGCACAAGTGTGGCTGTGATCCTGCGGGTGAAGGGGCAGGACCCCACCTGGCGGTGCCACCCCCGTGCCCCATGCCAGAGTCCCCTCTGCCCTGGACAAGTGATTTGGCCCTTAGTTCCACAGATGGGACAGGAGGCACTTGGCTGTGGTGGTGCTGGTGGAGAGGCTGAAGTCATCCGAAGGCCAGACCAGCCCAGGGGCAGGAGTAGCCAGCAGGGTGGGGAAACCCCGAGGCTCTGGGTCCTTTGCCCCATGGGGGTGAGGGAGGCAGCAGCACTGCTGATGGTACCTGGCGCTCAGGCGGGTCCTCACTGATGTGCCCACCTTCATAAGCACGTGTACCTGCCTTCCTTTACTCCCGAGCTGCACCTTCTGTTCTGCTACTGGCCTTCAGTCAAGCAGAGATCCTGACCGTCTTTCACGTGTGTGTGTGTGTCTGTGTGTGTGTGTGTGTGTGTGTGAGAGAGAGAGAGAGAGAGAGAGAATGGGACATGCACACAACACTTGCACAGGTCTCCTGTGGAGATGTGTGGAGGTATGGGCATAGGTTAGTGAACCTTAGTGTCCCCTGTTGATTGGGGAATTAGGAGGTGGGGGAAATCCATGCACTGAACTGGTGAACACCTAGCTGCAGGGCGGGGCCCTTCCTGACTCCACCCATCCTCAAGGTTAGCCCCGCCCAGGCCTGCCCAGGCTGAGTGTTTCTGCGTTGGACGGTGGCCCAGTGCTCTGTTCTCCTTTGTTTCAGCACATCAGTCTGTGTGGGCATTTCCACCCGTGTTCTCCCGGGGAATCTTGTCCTAAAACAGTGCATTTGCTGTGGAATGTGCTGGTCTGTCTGAGCGCTTTGCTAACTGAGCTTCCGTCTCTCTCCTCCTCTGCACAGCCCTGGGGCCTGACTCCTGCTCTGTTGGTATAGAGGAGTAAGCTGGTACGTGATCGCCTTCATATGCGTTGTGGGGTGGCTCTGAGGGGCATCCTTGACAGTGCTGGAGAGAGAGGACCTCGCCATCTGGCTCTCCTCCCTCCCTGGGGGGTTCCTTCCCTTTCTCTGGGCTTCTTCCATATCCCTATCTTCCCTGGGGTCCTGGTTTCTGAATCCAGAACTCCAAAAACATGCTACACCTTTGTCCCTAAGAGGTGGGCCTGGGGGGGGTCTGATGTTGGCCAACTTTTGGGGCCAGTGTTTTTTCTATCTGGACTAGATAGCCTAGTCAGGCTTTTCCGGCCTTCAGGGCCCCAGAAATGGCAACTTAGCCCTTGCTAAGACCCCACTGTTACTGCTGACTAGCTTGTCCCCCAACCTACCTATGGAACCTTCTGGAATGCCAGCACATGCTGAAATCGTCTGTGAGGAGGCCACGTGAAGTTGACCCCTATGTTGCTCCCCACCCTGACAGGGAGTTGCCCTCTACCTGGGTGACTTTGCCAAATGGTGGTTTCATGGAAGGCTGTTCCAGAAGCACCACAAGCATGTAGGCAAGTGTGTTGAGGACCTGCTTCCCCTCCTTTGTGTGACATTAGCGGCTCTGGGAACCTGATGCCTCCGGTGGCCCACGCGTTCCCAGACTGTGGGGTGGAGCCTGGCAGCCCCGGCTGGTGTGCGGCTGACCCTGTCGGCTGTCCTGAGCTCCGGTGTTTGTCCGCTTGTTTTGACAGCTGCTCTTAGGTTTCCACGCAAACCTTCCTTGTTCTCCTTGAATGTTTCCTTCTGACAAATCTTGCCTGGTGTTGAAATAGGGCCAACACTTTTATAAAGTTGGCCCTGGTCTCCGCGTCAGTGCTGGGTGCTATGATGGAGATAAACCTTCCAAAAGTAGAAAGTACAGGTCAGGCCGCGCTGCAGAGAACTGGATTTTGCCTGTGGGCTGCACAGCAGACACAAAGCCACAGCGCCTCGTGGCTCCCCCGCCTCAGGCTGCGTCACGGGTGACAGGTGGCAGAAGCACTCCTTGGTTTGCCGTTGGAAGGCTGTCCTGTGGAGCCCATCCTGAGCTGGCGGGCGGGTGGTCGACATCGCTCTGCAGCCCTGAGCATTGTGCCGGTCACTCGCCGCTGCAGGCCTGGGTCCCAGCTTCAGCACCAGTGCCCCAGGGGGCAGACTTGGTCCAGGGACAGAGTGCCTCATGGCATCAGGAGGCAACAGTGTGGAAATGGCCAGAGAGGCCTCTGAAGAAGGCAGCGTGGAGCTCCTGGGGCTGCCGCGAGCATGGGATGCGCACCCAGTCCAAGTCCACTCCCCTCTGCCCGGGCGGACTGAGTTCCGGCCTCATTCAGCAGTAAGCCCTGAAGGACGCCGGCTGGTCAGACCCCGGGAAGCATGGGCCGCGCACGGGTCGGGGGTCCAGGAACCTGTGGCACCTGTCGCATTCTGTTCTGGGGTGTTGGCTGATGCCGCTGCCTTGGATCTGCTCCAAGAGGGACAGACCCTCTTTTCTCTGTCAGGGCCGGATTCCAGGTCTCTGTGTGATCCTGCTGCGGACACACAGTAGGGGGTGCTGGGTGGCCCAGTCCTGGTGGGGACTCCTGGTTGGTAGAAACAGCCTGATGAATGAGGTGGTGACTTGCCCAAGCATGACCCCTTCTCCCTCTGCTCCTGCCTGCAGGCTGGTCCACCTCCGTGGAGACGCCCCGCGGCCTCCGTACCACTGGGCCACCCCGGCCTGTGCTGGGTGGCCCCAGTCCTGACCCTGGGGCCACCGAGCTGACCCCACTCTGAGAGCCTGGCCCGGCTGGCAGCATGGAGCCCTCAGCTCCCCAGACTTTGCCGAGAGGCCACCGGATTCCAGCGTGACCCCTGGCCTCTCCTGTCTTGCACGCTCCGCGTGGCCACTGGCTCCGAGGGGCCGTATGACCCTCAATTGAAGAGCACAGTGGACTGTCTCCTCTGACAAATTCCTTTTTCTACAGTTGATGTATTTGTAAATGGTACAGATGAAGGACAGCAGCTTTCTGTCCTGGGCTCTGAGCTCTGGGCTTTCCCCCAAATGCCCCATTGGCTGAGTGGCCAGGACCAGGGCATGACCACCCACATGCGCCCTGGATCGGCTTCTCCCAGCACCCCAGCCACTGGGGACTTAAAGCCTGAACACTCAACACAGACTCACAGAAGAAAATTGTGCTGGCGGGTGAGGTGCTGTCTTCACAAGAGAGATTGTGGGGGCCTTGTTGCCGAAGGAGGAGGGGAGGCGGGGTCCGAGTTCTGGCAGTGAAGGAAACAGTGCCTGTCCCCTGTCCCTCGTGCACCTGTGTCCTCGGCAGCCTGGCTGTTGCTGCTGCTCCGCACTCATCGCTGCTTCTCCCCCTTCCTGCTCCGGCCCTGGAGGCAACGGCTGCCTCCCACCACCTCCTTTCCCCGCAGCCCCGCTCAGCCCCTGGGCATCGGGGGTGGCCATGCGAGGCCGGGTGTGGGTCTGATCCCGGGGCAGAGGCACCGAAGCACAGGCTATGTGCAGCACTTGGCGACCGGTGGCCCCTCTCCCGGCCCTGCACCTTCTCCGAAGCGGCTTTGATCACACGGCAGGTCCCTCCAGGCGAAGGGCTTCTGCTGGGCTAGTGAGCTTCTGTCCGCTTGCCCTAGGGAGGGCTCTTAGCAGCTTCCCTGCTCCCTCTTCACCATCGTAATGTCACTTGGTTTCTCTAGAATTTGTCCTGTCTGGGGTCCCTGAGGTGGACCTGCCCTGGGGGAGGAACATTCCATCTGAGGTGACCTTGTTTTTGTTTGTTTTTTTGAGCAAAACTTTCTGGGCAACAGAGGCAAAGGGGGCGTCCAGCCGTGGCACGCCAGGGTGAGACCTGCCCCGGGGTGACCTTGAGCCGGGTGGTTGGGTCTGTCGGCTCCCTGAGACCCAAACACATTCGTGGCTCAGGGTGCAGGCTGCAGAGGGGCCCACTTCCTGGGGATCTGCCCTGGGAAGGATGGTTCTGGGGCAGCCAGCAGCAGTCCCCAGAGCCCCGGGCCCCCCCGGCCCGCCTACCGCAGGGCACTCGGGGGGGAAACGGACAGGATGTGGTTGGCTCTCTCTGCAGTTGAGCCCGTGAGCAGAGCGCTGCCTTTCACACAGCTCCCCGCCAGGCCCAGGCCAGCCTGCCCCAGTCCCCAGACTCCCTGCCCCCGTGTTCATGCCTGCACATACGCCCGTGTGCACACGTGAGTGCCTGCACACGTGCACACAGGCTGCCTCCTCCCTGCCCCGCGCCTGACCCTCCACCCCGGCCTCGCCATTGGTATTGGTGCCAGTACTCTTGTCTGAAGGCCGGGATGCCGACTGGCCCGTCTTGGACTTACATGTGCTATCATTTGATGTACTCTGATTGGCTAGTTTTTGTTCGTTTTTACTGTATATTTATAGTAATAAAATCATGCAGCAATATCTTGTGCATTCCTTCCTCTGCATAGCACCCAGGGACCTCAGCTGTTTCTCAGCCCGGAGGCAGGACAGCCGGGTGGCTCATGGCAGCTCACACCCCCACAGCAGCGCGAGCACTGGTGTGTGGCCACAGCCTCCGTTTCCTCGTGTGAGGTGTCCGTGACACAGGACTTCAGAAGGCTGTGAGGGCGCGTGAGATGGTGTGTGAGGCCTGGGGGCTCCTGCTGATGACTGCTGCGGTCATCGTGCTGATTCTGGGTTGCAGTGAAGGGCGCTCTGGGGACATGTCTCATTTTATGAGCCGTGGAGGAGGAGCAGCACTTCAGGTGTGCAGGTCACCGCTGCAGTCCCCGTCACCATCGCTGACGCATCCCAGATACTCAGCGAGCACCTCCCTGTGGGCTGGGCTGGAGAGGGCGGACACATGCAAGGTTCAGGCTCCTGGCAGTTTGTGTTCTAGGCTGTGAGGCACTGCACAGGTTTGGTTACTGTTAGGAAGAGCGTCGGCTGGTGAGATGGAGTCACATGGGGTATTTGGTTGAATCTGTGGTTGAGGAGAGCATCTCTGAGGAGGAATTTCGGCTGAGCCCTGAAGGATGTGAAAGAGGTGGTCCTGGAAGAGAGCCCAGGCAGCCAGCACAGCACGCACAAAGGCCCTGAGGCCAGAGTGAGCCTGGTGTGACCAGTGAGCAGAAAGACGCCCCAAGTGTCACCAGTTGCTGGCGTGTCAGAATCGGGGCAAGTGGGGGTGCAGATGCTACCGGACCTCATAGGGACGGGCAGGGGTTTTATTCTGAGAGCAGTCAGAGGCTTTTACACAGGGAACAGCTCTCTCCACCTGTTGCGTAGGATGGATTAGAGGGCCAGCTGTGGCTGCCAGCTTCCCTGCCCGGCACGCGGCCTCCCAGGAGGGAGAGGCTGTGGTGCCGGAATGCCTCGCCAGCGGCTCCTTTGCAAACGTGGTTCCAAGCGGTCTCCTCAGGTCCCCTCTTTGACTCAGGGGCTTTCTGGTGGAACCAGTGTTCTCTGCCGTCTAGTCCAAGCCCCAGGGAAGGACTGCCACCCTCCGCTCTGCAGCTGCTCAGTCGTGTTTGGGGCACGGCCCCAGGGTGAGTCGAAAGGTGCTCAGGGTCAGATGTCTTGCATGGGCTGCACTGGATCTCCCTCTACACTTCTCATCAGCAGACCGGGAACTTTGTTCACATCTTGTTTCGGGGAGGGGTTGGGGCATGGGGCGCCTTTCCTCTGTGCCCTCTGACCCCTCCCAGGGTCTGGGTTGTGCCCTGTGGCCTGGAGACGTGTCCTGCCTGGCGGGTCCTTCCCCTCAACAACATCTGCTCTTCGGACACGGTCACTTGCCTTGGGATCTGGCTTTTCCCTGAGCTGTGGCTGCCCATTGAAATCCTGGGAGAGGCCATGGATGGGGAGAGAGGGAGCCTTCTCTTTGGATCCTTACTCCCCTGCGTGTGACAGGATACGAACACGACTCTGTGAATGAGCCTCCAGTGGGTCCTTACCAACACTTGCCCGTCCTCTGCCCCTGCTGTCTTCTGCTCAGGGGCAGCCTTCTCTGCCACAGAGCTTGCCCTCCCTCGCTGCATGGGGAGTGCACATGATGCTTCCTTCCTCAGCAAATCTTCGCCCACCGTGGGAGGAAAATGGAGTTTGGGCCAACCAGTGGACAAGTGGCCCCACTGCTGCCCCCCGGACACCGTCCCCATGCTCCTGAGCCCCAGCAGACACAGGGGATGTACCTCAGCGCCTCTTCTGTGGAAGGTGGGAGGTTTTCTGTTGTGGACACTGGTCAGGAGACAGGGTGGGACTCTTGGGTGAGATCCTGGCTCTGGCACCAACTGCTGGGTACCCTTAAGGCAGGTCCTGTTCCTCGATGCCCCAGGTTACTCCTTGGTAAATTGGGGAGACCCCATTTCCTCCAACAGTACATGGCATATGGTGTCTGACTTGGAGGAAACGCGGGAGGCTGGGCCGGGATTTAAGGTACTTCCTCTTCCCACAGGCTGAGTCTAGGAGCCCCAGGGCTGTGCGTGGACACAGACCAGGGGGGCAGCTGGAGCTCTGCCAGGCCCTGCCTTCCTTGCTCTTCTGGAGCCGACCAGCAGTGACCTTGGACCCGAGTGCTTGTCTGGCGCGCGTGCAGGGACGGGTCTTGCCCCCTGGTCACCAGGCTCCCATAAGCCCTCCGGGGGAAAGGCGCCCGCAGGGAGTGTGGCGGGGGCTGGTGCGGCGCCCCCTGGGAGGCTCTGGGGGAAAGCCCGGGGGTCGGTCGGGGCCCCAGCTCCGCAGGCAGCGCCCGCCCGAGGCCCCCCGCGACAGCGCTCGTCTCGACTGAGCTCGGCTAGCGCGGAGCCTCCTGGGCTTTGTGGTTCTCCAAGCGGCGGGCGGGAACGCGTGCAGTTCCGACCTTTGCACACGCCTCTTCCGCGCCTCAACGACGCGTCGGGGCGCCGGGGTGGGCTCGGCCCCAACGGGCGTCAGCAATTGGTGGAGGGGCGGTGCCTAGGGACGCGGCTGCCTGCGGATTGGTCGGGCCCAGCGGGGGGCGGGCCGGCGCATGCACTTAAGGAGAGGCGCCCTAGCCGCGCGGGGTAGTGCCAAGATGTCGGCGGCAGTCCCGGAGCTGAAGCAGATAAGCCGGGTGGAGGCTATGCGCCTGGGGCCGGGCTGGAGCCACTCGTGCCACGCCATGCTGTACGCTGCCAACCCCGGGCAGCTTTTCGGCCGCATCCCCATGCGCTTCTCGGTGCTGGTGAGGACCCGGGTGGGCGGGGGGGGATAAGGGCGCCGCTCGCACCCCGCGCCCGTGACCCGGCGCTTCCTTGCAGATGCAGATGCGCTTCGACGGGCTGCTGGGTTTCCCCGGGGGCTTCGTGGACCGGCGCTTTTGGTCTCTGGAGGACGGTCTGAACCGGGTGCTGGGCCTGGGCCTGGGCTGCCTGCGCCTCACGGAGGCCGACTACCTGAGCTCGCACCTGACCGAGGGCCCGCACCGCGTCGTGGCGCACCTGTACGCACGGCAGCTGACGCTGGAGCAGCTGCACGCCGTGGAGATCAGCGCGGTGCATTCGCGCGACCACGGCCTGGAGGTGGGGCCGCCGCCCGGGCCCCGACCCCCGCCCCGGGGTTTGGCTCTGGCCCCGTGAAAGGCACCGATGGGTAACACGTCCTCCTGAGGGTCCCCTGGCCGGGCTGGGTGGGGTGTCGCTGTCTCCAGCATCAGGGTGGGGAGGGGGACCTGGGGGCGGGGTGGGGGGAGAGAGGGGGGCCCGGGGCTAGGGTTCCCTCGGGGCTGTGTTCCATCTGCCTTGCTGCCTGCCATTGCCAATCCTGGGAGTGGGGAGTGGGATTGGTGGGGGGATGGGATAGGGTGGTGCCTTCTGGGGAGGTGGGAAAATAGGGCTGGGTTCAAGGGCCGGGATCTCATGGTTGGGGTGATGAAGGTTCTTAACTGGTTTGTGGGTTTTATTTATACTCTGGAGGAACTGGGAGAGTCACACTTGGGATCTTTGGGATTCACGAGTGGAAGGAAGGGGGAGCATGGGGTGTGAACTCGGGGGGGGGGGGTCTTCCTGCCAGCGGATAGGGGCTGGAATTAGAAGATGCAGAGGGTGGAAGATGCATGGGGTCAGCTTTGAAACTTGCTTGGGGGAGTAGAGGCTGTACTGCTCCAAGGGTGCTGCTGGCTTGCGCCTCACCAGACCCTGCCTGGGTCTCCCATTGTGTCCTTTGCAACCTGGCTGCCCTTGCCCGGGCAGCTCCAGGGCCCCTCCTGCTAGGGCTGCAGCGTCGGTTTGGGGGCCCAGTCCCACTCCGGTCTCCTCTCCATGCAGGTGCTGGGGCTTGTGCGGGTCCCGCTTTATACCCAAAAAGACCGAGTTGGTGGCTTTCCCAACTTCCTGAGCAACGCCTTTACCAGCACTGCCAAGTACCAGCTGCTCTTCGCCCTCAAGGTGCTCAACATGATGCCCGAGGAGAAGCTGGCTGAGGCTCTGGCTGCTGCCACCGAGAAGCAGAAGAAAGCCCTGGAGAAGCTCCTCCCATCTTCCTCCTGAGGTTGAGTCTATGCTGTGTGTCTACTGCCCTCCCTTGGTTCTGTCCGTGCCCTGAACTCCTGGGGTTATGGCGAGATGGGACAAGCGGGCATCTCGTCCTCTCCACCGCCCCAAACAGCTCCTGGGTGGTGGCTGAGCTAGTGGGAGCCCAGCCCCCGCGGGTCAGGAGGCGGCCTGCTTGCACTGGACCTGGCTCTCCAGGCTCAGGACATTCTCTCCTACTCTAAGGCTCAAACCCTCCCCCACGGGAGACACACAGGTTGGTGGCGGGATCACCCAGGTACCCGGGTGGGTGCACACACCCCACTGAGAAGTTCGTTTCTGCTTGGGGAGGGTGCCTCGGAGACCTGTCAGCAGCCTCCCAGGGCCGAGGGAAGAGCTGGCTCAGTACTGTGAACTCCGGTGGTGGTGATTAGCTTTGTCTTCTGTGGTGTGTCAACAGGGGTGAGGCTTCAAGGCCCCTTTAAACCCATTGGGCTCTGGTCCCCAAGTTTAGTTGGGGCCATGAAGCCCAGCTGTAGGTGGAGTTGTTGAAAGGAGGACAGCAAAGTCCATTCTTGGCTGCTCTGTTTGTTCTCTGGGTTTGGTCACAGGCCCAGGGCTGGGTGCATGAGGGGCCCCCTTTTCCCACTGTCCAGGGACCTAAGGCTGGGAGCCAGGCCCAAGTGCTGGGCTCCAATCAGCACAGAGCTGATGATACAGGCCTCTGTCCACTTCTCTGTGGTTGCTGTGGCACTGCCCCCTCGGACCTCCCTGGGCCTGGTCAGGGGCTTCTAGCCACACCTGGGCCAAGCTCGCTGCCCTTTGCTTTGCAAGCCTCCCTTTCTCCATTCCCAGCACAGTCCATAGGCAGCTCCGGGATGTGGTATGGAGGCACTGGCCGCGTGTGCAGAATGACAACCGGAGAGCCACCACAGATGGGCAGGTCACCACTAGCAGTCGCCCGTGGCCCTATGTCTGGAAACTCCTCAGTGAAGCTAACCAAGTTTCCACAGCGCCTATGTGGCCTGGTAAGGAGAGCCGTGCTCTGGCCCAGCCTGAGCATCTTTTCCACCTTAGAGCCTCAGTGAAGTGGCCAGCACATGTGGGCAAAGGCCCTTCATTCTGTAAATAAAATACCTGTACCTTGTTCCTCTCTTATTTCCTGGGGCACCAGGGCCGCGCGCAACACTCTTCAGATTGCTTGGGTAGAACCGAGGGGGCTCTGAGCACAGGTGGCTCTAGCCCCAGGGGATGGACAGAACAGAAGGCACCCAGTCGGCCCTGCTCTGAGTGTGGCGGTCTCCGTCCCGGCAGAGGGGGCTGGGTCCCAGTGGGTTACTGAATGGGGCAGGGTCACAGCACGGTTTGTCAGCCAGGACTGCATGTCGTGGGACCAGAACTGAGCCCTTCACCAGATCTTAAATTTTATTTTCCAGCAAATGACCTCCGCTGCCCAGGCGCCCAGTCCTTTCAGCGTGGCACCTGCGGTGTATGGGGACCCACTCTCTCCCCGTGGCCCTGCCTGCTCCGGGCCTTCCCCCCTGGTTCTGGGCAAGAGGCCCTCGGGCCGCCTCTGCGTGGGCCTCACGGCCCTGTCCTGCCTCCGCCAGCTGCTCCGGGGGCCTGACGCTGCGGCCCCCGCTCGGGCCGGCCTGCTGCAGCCGCTTGCTCACTGCCCTCCTGTCTTCCAGGCACACAGCTTCAGGGTGGATCAGTCACCCAACGTCAGATTCTGAGAAGGGAAAGGGAAGACTGAAGTGGGCGCTTGCTGCTGCCCGGTGCCCCCTGCTCTCCGGCCTGGGTCCTGGGCTGGCGGACACTCACCGTCCCTCCCAGCTAAGGCTCCCGCCAGTTCTCCTTCCCGTTCAGCGCTTGCAGCTTCTCCAAGCTCTGGGTCACTGAGCATAGCACTCGCCCTGAGGACGGGAGCAGTTAGTTGCTGCTTTGTGAGTGTGGGAGAGAGGCGGGGAGGTGCCTAGAAACGTGACCTTGACGACAGCGGGCTATGGTACGGCTGACTCGGGGGTCTGAGCTGACCAGGCAAGGGTTCCCGTTTACCCACTTTTGGCCCCTGGGTGGGGGTGAGGCCACTGGCTGAGAGACTCACCCATTTCCTGGACTCGATCCTCCAATGCTCCTGACAGCTCAGGGAGGCTCAGAGCCTGCAGGGAAGCCTGCCAGCCTTTGGAGTCTGTGGGGCAGAGGGCTAGGTGGGCCTGGGGCTTGTGTGGTCCCCACAGGCCCTGCCACTTTGTCCTGAGCTGTTCCGACCGGGGGACCCACCCACTGTCAGTACCTGTGTGACACTATTATATCAAAATGTGGTCGCCTGTTTTTCCAAAGCACTGACGGGGGGGAGGGGGCAGTCTGGGTCCAGCCTCAGGAGTGAAACTGTGAGGGTCCCCAGCTGACAGGGAGGCTTGGCCGTGGGGTAGCCCCAGCTGCAGAAGTCACAAGGGACTTCGGCTACCATAGTGTGGTAACTCTGGGAGGACACGGTTCTTACCAGCCGTGGGGAGGGGTGGGCCCAGAGGGGGCCCTCGGGTGGACGACTCCTGCTTCACTCTGGCAGACAACTCGGCTTGACAGGCTCTGCCAGACACAAGGCCAAGTGCGAATGAGGGAGAGGCCTGGGAGAGGGTCTTCCCCGGCCGCAGCAGGGCAACAGGGACCCCAGCTCCCTGAGTGTCAGTGGGGCTCTGCCTTCACGGCAGGCGCGCACACTAGGCACCTTCGGGGATAAGCTCTGAGGGAAGAACTGCACACCGTGTGCAGATGCTTGGGTCTGCCCTGCGGAAAGGGACAGCCAGACTGAAATGGAGGGTGGCGGTGAGTGACCCCAGAAGGCCTTAAGAACCACCACTTGGTTGAAGAATCTGGTGGAGTCAGGGTCCGGCCTGGGGGCGGCTCAGATGCCCACTCACCGCAGCTGGTCCAAGACGAGAGCAGCGTCGCGGGCCAGGGCCCGGGTCTCCTGCAGCTGGGCGTGCACGTCCTTCCGCGCCCCGTCCTGCTCCAGGAGGCAGCTCTCCACCACCGCCCGCAGCTCCTGCTCCTGGGACACCTGGCCTCGCATGGCCTCCACCTCCTCACAGCGCTGCAGCCAGAGAGGCAGGAGGTAGGGTGGGTGGGGGGCGGGCGGGCAAATGAGCAGGGGGGATGCAAGGCCAGGGCCACTCGTGCTGGGTCCCCTCAACCCCAGTCCTCTCTCCGCCACGACCACTGGCTCTCAGCTCCTGCTCTCCTGGGCCGGCGTCCACCTCGGGGCGCCCCTTGCTTTGGGTCCCTACCCTCACGCCCTGTGACGTCCATGCCAGCTGCGTGTGCTCTGCCCTCACCCTCTCCTCTGGCAGGTGACCTCCTGTCCAACGTCCCCTGCCTTTCTGAGCCTTCTTCCTGGGGGCCTGGCTCTGCATCTCCCGTTTTACACACACACAGGCAGTAGCGCTTTCTGCCCTTACCGCCCCACCACCCGCCCTGGCTGCTGCTCCCTGCTGACCCTGGCCATCCGTCCCCACGGCTCTCCACAATGTGTCCTTCTCTGCAGGTGGGTCTCCACGTCCCTCCCCCGCTCACCACATACTTTGTGCAGCTGGATGGCGAGCTCCTGCATCTCAGCTTCAAGCCGGTCGGCATAGGCCAGCTCCAGGGCATCGCTGGGGGGCCGGGCACTGCTGTGCCAGCGGGCGATGGCAGAGGTCATCTTCCTCTTAGGCCCAAACAGCCTGCAGGAGTGAACGAGAGAACGCGGACCTGCTGTGTGTGGAGGTGCTGCGGACCATCCTTCCACCAAGATGGTCCCCTAGGAAAGATCCCAGCTTTGAAAGGAGACAGTGGCCCCCGGATCCTGGGACAGATGACAGAAACAAATGATCTTAAGAAGTGACCACAGCAGGCGCTGGCCCGCCCTGCCTGCCCGTTTCCTTCCCCTGCCTGGTTGCTGCTCCCACTGAACGGGGAGCTCAGGCCTGCCGGGGCCAGGCTGTGAATGGCCTCCCTACCCCCTCGGGAAGCTGTCAAAAGCGAACGGCAGAAAATGTCCGGGTGCCCTTATCACAGCAGTGTCTGCCAGGGGACCCAGGCCTTCAGCACCTAAGCTCGATGCAGCCGGAGGACCAGAGAGAGGACAGCTGGCTGCAGAGAGCGAGCAGACGTCCAGACGGGGCAGGTGGTCCCCTCCCCGCACTGGGGAGTTCGGAGCTAAGCGGCCCCTTCACGCTTGGTGGAACCGAGGGGGCCGTGGCCACAAAGGCCCCTCGGCACTCACGTGATGCCGATTTCCTTCAGGTCGCTCTCGGTGAGGGTAAGGAAAATGCGGAGGTCCACGTCTTGCTCCTCGAACACCTGCAGGTACTTGAGACACCCGATCTGCTCCAGCAGCGTGGCGAGGTCCTGAAGGGCCGAAGAGCGGAACAGGTCAGAGGATGTGGGCCCGAAAAGGCGGTGCTGCAGCGCAGATCCTGCCGCCACATGCGTCTAAGCCGGGTCAGCCCTGTGGATCCCCCAAGTTCTCTGGTGCGTCATCTCTGGCTGCAGCCCCTCCTCTCTGCGCCCTTAGGCAGAGCTCGTAGTCCAGAGACACCTGCCCCTGCCCGTGTCCCTGCGGCCAGTGCCCTTTCTTTTCAGCCTGGACACAGTTCCTGTTCCCGTAGGGCAGGTCTGCTGGCAACACACTCTTCAGTCTCTTTTTACCTGTGACGGTCTTCATTTCTCCCTCACTTCTGAAGGATAGTTTCTGCCTGGATACAGCATTCTTGGTTGGCTGGTTTCTTCCATTACTCTGACTCTATCATCAAATGCCCTCTAGGCCCCATGGTTTCTGATGGAAAACTAGTGGTTAATCTGACAGGTGTTCCTTGTATAAAGACTCCTCTCCTGCTCCCTTCAAGATTCTCCTTGTGTTTTTGGACAGATTATGATAGATTTAGGCGTAGATCTGAGACTAACCTACTTAGAGTTCATACAGCTTCCTGGACGTGCAGATTCATGTATCTGATCAAATCTGGGAAGGTCTGGCTATTTTATAAACATTTTTTTTTATGCTCTTGCCCCCCTTCTGGAACATCATTACGTGTGTGTTGGCTGCTTAGTGGTGTCTCCTAGGTTTTTGTTCATTCTTCTTAGACGCGATGATCTCACTTGATCTAGGTCACCTTTGTGGGTCCCATGTGCTTCAATCTGCTCTTGAGCCCTTGTGAAGCTTTCATTTCAGTGATTATACTTTTCATCTATACACTTCCTATTTGTTTTTATTTCTATCACTTTGTTGATATTCTCTACCTAGATATGGTTTCCTTTAGCTCACTGAACGTATTTTAATAAGCTGATCTAAAGTATTTGTCTAGGGGCGCCTGGTGACTTAGTTAAGTGTCCAACTCTTGGTTTCGGCTCATGTCATGATCTGACGGTTTGAGAGGTTTGTGTTTCGGAGCCCTGTGTCAGCTCTGCACCGACAGTGCAGGACAGGCTTAGATCTTTCTCTCTCTGCCCCTCCCTGGCTCACGCACTCATGCTCTCAAAATAAATAAATTCTTTGAAAATGAAACCTTGAACGAGCCCCACTCCATTCTGCCCCGTGGTGGCTGTCACAGCTACCTTGGTACTGGGGCCAGGGGAAGGATGGGAACAGGGCCGAAGTTAAAGCGCTACAAAGCCACTTCTCTTGAATAAAAATTTCCAAGTTGCTCCAAGCCTTTGGTTGATTCAGATTCTGATCACTTCTGCCAGTTTTTTGTGGCCTTTAATGGAGGAGTACATTTTCAAATGTTGTCACTCTGCCAATTTCCTCAACCTATTTTCTAAAACATCCTTAAGATCCCATCGCCCACTCTCCCACTGAAAAGCGTTTAAGTAATTGAAAGGTGTGGCCCCTCAGTGAGCCTGGGAACACGGGTGCTGGACACAGCTCCCTGGAGGGGTCACAAGGAGAAGGCAACAAGCACACCTGCTTTTAGTGAACAGCACAGCTGTGACTGAAACAAATGGCAAGAAATGACTTCTTTCTTTGTACCACTTACGCCCACAGAGGGCAGGGGAACTTGATGAACAGACCACGGGGTGGCTGGGCCGTGCCTGTAACCCCTAAGAAGCTGGGTAAGCCGCAGCGACTCACAGCGAGGGAGGCAGAGATGGCAGCTGTCATTAAGTGCCACTTCATCTCCGCTTCGAATGCATCTCCTCACTGACTCCTGACAGCAGCTCTGGAAGATCGGTCCAGTTTTTCTCCTCCCCAGGCTCAGGGAGGCTGAGTCGAGTATGGAAAACAAGGGAAGAGACAGAGCCCTCCTATGGAAAGGGATGGAACAGAGACCCTGCGCCTGGCACTCGTAGCCATTAGCAGTCCTCTCAACCTGAGCAGCTCCACAGATCATGGGGGGAAATCATCTCCACATTTTTCTCTCAACAGGGCCCAGCCCATCCTAAGCGCACAGTAAGAGCCTCAAGAAGCACTAAAAGTGTGTAATTACCACTTTCATGGATTGCTCTCACCTGGGGTCCTGAATAAGGGGACCTCTCTGTCTGGGGAACAGATCCCGGGGAGCAGGCTGCGCCAGCTGGCCCGGTGCTGGTAGACCACTGGCTGTCACTGTTGCTGTAACGATTCTTGGTCTTTATGTAACTTTTAGTTTGCTTGCGAACCGAGCTTTTACACGCATGATCCGAATCCTGTGGTGAGAAGGCTATGTTCAGAGTTAACACGGAGGGGCTCACGGCTAACGTGAGCTGCATCCACTCTACTCTCTGCCCCACAACCCCAGCTGTGAAAATCCCCCACCAGCCAGAGGCTTCCCTGGTGACCTGCACCATGGTCCATGTGGCCCAAATCCACGGAGGGCGGCCAGGACTTTGCATCTGATGTGCATGTAGTATTGATTACCCTCTTGAAGGAGGCAGCCCCCACACCACCAAGAAAGGGGAGGGAGGCGGGAGATCAAGAAAGGAGAAGCTTCACCTCGTTGCTCTCCAGAGAGGCCTCACTGCTGACTCCCGGGGCCCTCGTCAGGCCCTCGCTGCTGCTGCTGCGCCTCACGACCCCCAGGTTGGCACAGAAGGCCTGCTCTTCTGAAAACAGCGAAGACGAGAGCACCTGACCACAGGTCTCACTCGGGGGGATGCCCCAGAGCCCCACACCCACTGCACTCACCACCTCCTTAAACAGCTCACTGCTGTCTTCTGTTTCACGCGGCTGCCCAGCCCAAGCCCTCGGACCCTAACATGTGGATGCGCGTTTTGCCTGTTTTGTTCACTGATAAATCCAAGCATCTGGAACAGTGCTTGGCATACTCGGCACTCCGTAAACGGCTACTGAATAAATGACAGATAATGTAACAGACATTTCCCTGATGGCTCCCCAGTCAAGGCGCTAACCTGGTCTGAAACGGCTCTCCCAGATGCCGCATGGAGAGACACTGGGCCAGAAGCCACACCTCACCTGTCTCCATGCCAGCTTGGTCCTCACAAGCACCAGTGCCCTTCTGTACCCTTTGCCCCATTGTTCTCTACTGGCCGGACCCACCACCGTTCCATTCCTTCCTTCCCCAGGGTGGAGGGGAATTGGAGAGGGGCGGCACACAGGGCCTCCTAACTCCAAGTGAACCCCTGGCCGGCGGGGGGCGGGGGAGGGAGGCAGGGTGCACATACCCCGACTGCTACTGCTGCTGCTCTCCACATCCCGGTCATTGATGGGGGAGGTGACGTCCCTGTAGCAGAGGCCCCCCACTTCCAGCGGGTTCTCATCACTGCTGTTAAAGGTGACATAACCCCGTGGAGGCACCTGCTCTGTGGACAGAAGGGGAGCCATAAACCCACATGACCACAAAGATGCAAGTTCCTCCAGGGGCGCCTGGGTGGCTTAGTCGGTTAAGCGTCCGACTTTCGCTTAGGTCATGATCTCGCGGTTCGTGGGTTCGAGCCCCGCGTCGGGCTCTGTGCTGACTGCCAGCTCAGAGCCTGGAGCCTGTTTCAGTCTGTGACTCCCTCTCTCTCTGACCCTCCCCTGCTCATGCTGTCTCTCTCTCGTAGAAATAAATAAAAATATTTAAAAAAAAAAAAAAGATGCAAGTTCCTCCTTCCAAATTCAACCACCCAAGAGGAAACATGGGGGGGGAAGGCCCAGGATGCAGGCGAGCTGAAAGAAAATTCCTATCTCTCTTCAGCTCTGTTCACAGATTCCGGAACCAAAGGGAAACTACAACACTAGCGGGAAATGTCACCTCAAACACATCAGCCTTCACATTCCCTGTGACTTTCCAACACAGACATCCCGGGGCTCCTCCTTGGGTCAGTCAACCCCAGCAAAGAGACCTGGCTGAGCAGGAAGGTGGTAGGCCCTGGGCTAAAAATTAACAACAGTAACACCAAGTTACATAACCTCTGAGTGCACCTGCCTGCAAGAAAAAGGGAGAAAAGACGACACAAACCAGAGGGTTTAATTCCAATTTGACCCCTGCCTCTTCCCCACAGAAAATACATTTAGTTGTAGAGAAGAGACTGGCTGGTGGTGTCATGGGTGACTTATTTCCTTCTTCACACCTTTCTGAAGTTATCAAGATTTACAATCAGGAAGAAAAAGAAAAAGAAATCAGCATATACTATTTATCATTCAAAAGTGTGTTTTCGGGGCACCTGGGTACCTCAGTTGGGTAAGCCTCCCGACTCTTTTTTTAATATATTATTTAGTTTTGAGAGAGAGATAAAGACAGCATGAGCAGGGGAGGGTCAGAGAGAGGGAGACACAGAATCTGAAGCAGGCTCCAGGCTCTGAGCTGGCAGTCAGCACAGAGCCCGATGTGGGGCTCGAACCCACGAACCGTGAGATTGTGACCTGAGCTGAAGTTGGACGCTTAACTGACCAAGCCACCCAGGCGCCCCACCCCGACTCTTGATGTTGGCTCAGGTTGTGACCCTGCAGTTGTGGGACTGAACCCCGTGTCAGGCTCCGCCCTGAGTGTGGAGCCTGCTTGGGATTCTCTCTCTCCCTCTCTCTCTGCCCCTCACCTGCTCGCTCGCTCGCTCTCTCTCATAAAATAAATGCTTTTTAAAAAGTGTTTTTCCCTTGCTGGCAAAGAGAATAATATGCACTTATAGAAAATTTAAAAACCACAAAGTGTAAGGTAAACCATGAATAATAAATGGCACAACTAAGGGACAATTAGCATTGCTCTTTGGTGAATGTTTGTCTGCCTCTGTGGGATACAAAAGACCTGTGTGTAAATGGGCCCGGGCCAGATTATTCTGGTGTCTTGAACAAATTCCATTTTAAAAAGCACTGGTTGTATGGCAACACAGATTAACTGCCACCCCCCGCCCGAGGTAAGACCTGTCCTTCCTATGGCCCCACCACACCTCAGGTGGGACAGGTAGCAGGGACTCCTCAGAAGACACAGACTGCTACTCCACAAGGAGAACGGCCCAGCCAAATGCCCCAGAGCTCTGTGCCTGTAAAAGCACCGCTCACCCAAGGAGAGAGGAGGTGTGCTCTCATCCTGTAGCAACCCGCCCAGAGCTGGGGGGTGGCTTCCCCAGAGGCCCAGTTAGCCACCCTACTGTGGGTAATGGGAGAAGGTGCCAGACTGCCACTCCACAAGGAGAACTCCCAGCCCAGTACCAAGACTCCTCTCTAAGGGAATAGAAGGGAATCAAGCTACTGTATACTCTTTACTCAAACATGGTCTCCTGTGACTGGAAAAGTTTAGTTTCCAAGCCTAGGAGTGATCACTCAGGAGAGGGGCCCTTCCACCCAGACTGCTAGACCAGCCAGACTGGGGCACCTGGATGGCTCAGTAGGTTAAGGGGCTCTTTGTTTCGGCTCAGGTCATGATCTCAGTTTGTGGGACTGACCCCTTGAGCTAGGCTCCAGCTAACAGTGAAGAGGCTAGATGGGATATTCTCTCTCTCTCTCTCTCTCTCTCTCTCTCTCTCTCTCCCCCCTCTCTCCTCTCTCTCTTCCCCTGTCTGTTCCACCCCTGCTCATGTGTGCTCTCTCAAAATAAATGAAATGAACTTAAAAATAAAGGAAGCTTTAACTACAAGATACGACTCACACTAAGACTGATCACGAGGTGAGGCCAGAGCAGGAGCGTCGGCACCCCCTGTACTCCGCGAAAGCACCGCGCTCAATTTGAGGAGCTAACAATTCGTGAATAAACTCAGGGCCAGGGTTCTACCCACCAAGTGGACCGTCGAAGAATTCTCTAACCCAGCACTTGCAGAAAAGAGAGCAAGAGCCTATTCAGGGACACATCCAATTCTGGCTGGTGATGGGGGCAGACACCGGACTTGAACATTTTTCCTGCACTAGCTGCCCCACCACGGTGGAATGAAATCCCAGCTTTGCTGTATTTCCACTGCTGAAGAGAAAGTTCTATTTGTAATTGTAACCAGCGGAAAGGAAAATCAAAGGATGAACCAAAACCCGGAACCTAGCCAGTATCAGTGCCTTTCTATCCCTGTAAGCCATCTCGGGTCCCGCAGCTGCAGCCCCCACCCAGTGGCCCACATCTCAGAAAGCTGAGAACTGGTGCTTCCTGTCGGGCCGGCCTCTCAGGATGCTCTGCCACAGAGCCACCAGGAAGTGGGAGCACTCACCACAGCAAGGCCGCTGCACCTGGCCGCCAAGGCCGATGGCCGTGATCCGGGCCAAGGCTCGCGGCCCCTCATGGATGCTGAGGCCCTTCTTCCGACAGGGCCTCTGTCTCTGGGGAACAGGGCAGGATTCATCCGAAGAGCTTAAATCTTCAAATTTTTCTGTGGGTCAAACACCAGAATTAAGACATTTTGTTCAGTGATGGACTGATTTACCAGTCCTCATGGTACATGCTAGAAGATAATCATCATTATTGGTCTTCACAAATTAAGAAGAAAAAAAAGTGTGTTTCCCAAGACGTCCCTTGAAAGAAATGCCATGATGGGTTGGTCCACTGCTCAGATGGGCCACGGGGACATCTGGGCAGAAAACAAGCTGCTAAAGCAGGAGTCTGAACTGAACAAGTCTGTCACGAAGGGAGGGTCTTAGTTCTTATTCCTCTTTCTGTATGGGTTTCCAGAATTTTTTAACAAGTGTGTCTTCACAGACCTAGGCCACTATCACTCACAACTTCACAATTGTATATTGTCAAGCCGCATGTTTGGGAAGCAAGTGGCACATGGCAGGGTGCGTGCCAGGTGTGGGGAAGCACCGCACGTCTTGCCTGTCACAGCGTGAGAGCCCAGCGCGCTCACAGCCACTGACATCTTACAGCTTTTCCTGTTCCCCGATCCCATCACACCTGCAAGGCAAAACTCATGAATGTATCGGCATAAGGCTGACACCTGGTTAAGACCTCACTCTTGGGGGGCGCCTGGGTGGCTTAGTCGGTTAAGCGTCCGACTTTCGCTCAGGTCATGATCTCGCGGTTCGTGGGTCCGAGCCCCGCGTCGGGCTCTGTGCTGACTGCCAGCTCAGAGCCTGGAGCCTGTTTCAGTCTGTGACTCCCTCTCTCTCTGACCCTCCCCTGCTCACGCTGTCTCTCTCTCTCTCTCCTAGAAATAAATAAAACATTAAAAAAAAATTAA